GCCTCGATTCTATATCAAGACCTAAATATCCAGTTCATGTAAATGTTGTATCGAGGCTGTGTAAGGCGCCACATGTGAAATGTATATATCTATGCGTCCAGGCTACTGAACATAGGGTCGTTAAATCTTTCGTGGGTTATTGCCTCGAAATAAATTCCTATTTTGGAGTATAGCTGTCGTACTTCATCATTGCATTGAGTAACTGCATGAAGTGCCTGTATTCAACAGTGTATTTAATTTTTTAAGTAACTGACGTGCATGTATTGATCTGTGCATTTAAGTAACTAGAGTGCCTGTATTCACCAGTTCATCAAAGTAACCGGTGTAGTGTATTTATCTGTGCATTTAAGTAAGTGGAGTGCCTGTATTCAACAGTACATTTGAGTACATTTGTGTTCATCTGTGCATTTAAGTAACTGGCGTACTTGTATTTTGCAAGCAACACCAGAATTGTCGCTCTAGAATGTTGACGATTACCTGTTGGAGAAGGGGGGCACGTACAGACACGCAGCACCCATGCACTTTGTTTTGCACACAGCTAATTATCAATTAAATGCAGTATATTCAGTACAGCCTTATGGTGAAAAAACAACAACAGTTCCGGCCAAATGCCATTATGTTCCAGATCGTTACACGTATACACTGCTTGATAGAACGTCTCCTTTTCCACAAACACAGACACACAAGTTGACGTTGAAACTGTAGCGGCGAAATATTGATAAGATGCCTTTACACGTTCACCATCAATCACAAGGGAAGCAACTCTTCTTCAGCTATCGTCTTGAGGTGTTGGGAGACATTCAGTGCATCGGTTGTCTGCGATTAGGAGAATTGTTTATCGTTTTACCTTGGCTGACTAAATGTACCTGGAAATAGCAGTTGGTCGGTCAACGTGAGAGTTCAAGGAACTGCCCATGATGTACATCTCAATATTAACCACACAGACAATATGCCCGAAATGGACCCTGACTTAATTTATTAGTCAATTAACATTCTAAGTGTCTATTGTATTTTTACAGATACATGCTATATTTTCTTAATGTAAAAGGTGGAAACTTAATGATATTCATAATTCAAGCAATCATCAGCAGTGACAATTATCCATGTATACGGTGTGAAATATACCCCGGTCGTTCAAACTAGTATCTAGATATTTAAACGAAACACATGGATCTGCTTGGGAGGTTGGGGATTGGGTTGAAGGGTGGGGTGTGGGTGTGTGTTGGGTGGGGGTGGGGGTGTTTCAAAAGATTAGCATGGACGTTGGGCTAAAATGATTCTACAGTTTACAGTGACTGTGAGAAAATCTCCGCGCATCCGCCACAAGGTTCCGTTTTTCAGTTGTTAACGTACAAATGTTCCAAGTCGCCACAATAATCATCAACTCAAGGGGATGAAGACAGAATTAAATGGCTCTATACGAGAGAGAGAGAGGAATGTAACAGTGATGAGCTGTGACATGCCTTATCTATGGCGGATTGTTCTCAAGGGACTCTTAAATAAAGTAATACTTGCATGAATGGCTTAGAAATGTGATTGTTGAATATCTATATATGCATCTTAAATACATCACGATACATCCAATGGGACAGTTTGGTGTTTCGTAATTTATATTCATACAATCAATAGTTCCGACTAACAATGTCTTATTCCAATGGTGTATAGATGTGTCTACAAAACACGCAGCCACGCACGCACACGTTGATTTGAACATGTACATATAGATGTATATGAGCGAAATATGATAGAAGAATGCATATTGCAGCTTTCTTAAATTGTAATTTTGCTTAAGCTAGAAAAAGTGCTGACTTTGATGTTGCGTTGTCTCAGTAAGGTGAAGTAGTGTCTGTGTAAAGGTGAAAAAGTGCCAAAAAGGCATGGGTCCAACTATATTGGACGGGCTACCCACAGACGCCTATTCACGGGTGCGATCCCACTACTGCGCGACACGGGGACTTTTGCCTGCTGCATTTCTGCCCTGGGCCGGTGCGTCCCTCCTTAGACAACCTGGTGACATCAGACTCCTGCACCACTGTATCACGTATCATAGTCTACACCACTGTATCATGTATCATACCCTTCCTTCACTGTATCATGTATCATACTCTACACCACTGTATCACGTATCATAGTCTACACCACTTTATCATGTATCATACCCTACACCACTGTATCATGTATCATACCCTACACCACTGCATCACGTATCATATTCTACACCACTGTATCATGTATCATACCCTTCCTTCACTGTATCATACCCTACACCACTGTATCACGTATCATACCCTACAGCACTGTATCATGTATCATACCTTACACCACTGTTACATGTGTCATACCCTACACCACTGTATCATGTATCATACCCTACACCACTGTATCATGTATCATAACCTACACCACTGTAACATGTACCATACCCTACACCACGGAATCATGTATCATAGTCTACACCACTGTATCATGTACCATACCCTACTCCACTGTATCACGTATCATACCCTACACCACTGTATCATGTATCATACCCTACACCACTGTATCATGTATCATACCCTACACCACTGTATCACATATCATACCCTACACCACTGTATAATGTATCATACCCTACACCACGGTATCTTGTATCATACCCTTCCTACATTGTATCATGCACCATACCCTACACCACTGTACCATACCCTACGCCACTGAATCATGTATCATACCCTACACCACTGTATCATACCCTGCCTTCACTGTATCATGTACCACACCCTACACAACTGTATCATATATAATACCCTACGCCACTGTATCATGTATCATTCCCTACACCACTGTATCATGTATCATACCCTAAACCACTGCATCATGTATCATACCCTACACCACTGTATCATGTATCATACCCTGCCTTCACTGTATCATGTACCACACCCTACCTTCACTGCATCATGTATCATACCCTACACCACTGTATCATGTGCCATACCCTACCCCACTGTATCATGTATCATACCCTACACCACTGTATCATCTATCATACCCTACCTTCACTGTATCATGTATCATACCCTGCCTTCACTGTATCATGTATCATAACCGAGTGAGAAGAGACTCGGTGCCTCAGTTGGTTCTGTACCTGAACACATGAGACATTGCTCACAATATGAATCACTGGATTGTCAGGTCCAAACTTGCTTAGTTACAGGCCACTATCATGTAGCTGGAATATTGCAGAGAACAGTGTTACACAACAAACAACACATAATTGACAATAGGAAGGATCTTGTCATCTCCCATTTGGAGACACATGTAGCATCAGTGTAGCATCAATGAAACATCCAATGCAAGTCAAACACAAAGGAAAGAGTAGTCTTAATGCCAACAAGCTCTTTTATTGCACAAAATATTGATTTTACAATGAATGTTTTAAAGTCTTAATTACTGTAAACATACAAAACACAATTGACATATTAGTATCATGTATGTATGTTCACAATTTAAACGCCAATATCACAATCAATGTGGCCACATGCTCTCTTTCATCACAAGGTACATGCACAACATCCTCATCTTTACCTGCTTAAAACACTACAACAGCCTACACACATCCTCTATCACACCAGGCAGGACAAAGCACATCAAGACCGCAGTCAGCCTTCCTGTAGTCCAGCCAGATACACACATCCTCTGTCACACCAGGCAGGACAAAGCACATCAAGACCGCAGTCAGCCTTCCTGTAGTCCAGCCAGATACACACATCCTCTATCACGCCAGGCAGGACAAAGCACATCAAGACCCCAGTCAGCCTTCCTGTAGTCCAGCCAGATACACACATCCTCTGTCACACCAGGCAGGACAAAGCACATCAAGACCCCAGTCTGCCTTTTGTTGTTCAGCCAGATACACACATCCTCTATCACACCAGGCAAGACAAATCCCATCAAGACCCCAGTCAGCCTTCCTGTAGTCCAGCCAGATACACACATCCTCTGTCACACCAGGCAGGACAAAGCACATCAAGACCCCAGTCAGCCTTCCTGTAGTCCAACCAGATACACACATCCCGTCACACCAGGCAGGACAAAGCACATCAAGACCCCAGTCAGCCTTCCTGTAGTCCAGCCAGATACACACATCCTCTGTCACACCAGGCAGGACAAAGCACATCAAGAACCCAGTCTGCCTTTTGTTGTCCGACACTGTTTCAGGCCATCATACAAATCACATTCACCTTATTCTTGACAAAATAACCTCATAAGTGAATATGTATCTACACCAGGGGAAAAGGTCACCCCTGCTACCTGTATACATTGTCTTCCATGTAAAATAGCCATTTTTTAAATCGCATCTTGTACTAATTTTCTCACAAAACACAATTGTTTATGTTCACACTGTGACAGACACATTGAAATACAGAACCGAAATTGATTATCCAATAACATGTGATGTAAATGGCAATACCAGTAGCCTTTCATCTGCTTCCAGGGGCGGTCGGGTAGCCTAGTGGTTAAAGCGTTCGCTCGTCACGCGGAAGACCCGGGTTCGATTCCCGACATGGGTACAATGTGTGAAGCCCATTTCTGGTGTCCCCCGCCGTGATATTGCTGGAATATTGCTAAAAGCGGCGTAAAACCATACTCACTCACTCACTCATCTGCTTCCAGCTTCTTCACACCGTAGGATGCGAACCACTACTAGTGTCCATCTAGCACAACTGGCAACACACACTCTTCCAGTACCAAGTTTTCATCAGGTATGCGATATCTTAGATATTTATCAAAATAAGACCTCTGTCATGCAATTGTTTCCAAAAGTTGCATGTAAGTTCATCACATACGAAAATAAAGGAGTGGGGCTTAGCTTTTTCCCGTATGTATATATGCTTTGTTTGTTTGTTGTTTACCACCACTCAGCAATATTCCAGCTATATGACAGTGGTCTGTAAATTATCGAGTGGACCAGACAACCCAGTGATTGATATCATGAGCATCAATCCACGCAATTGGGATACTATGATGTGCATCAACAAGTCAGCGAGCCTGACCACCCTATGCTGTTAGTCCCCTCTTACGACAAACATAGTCGCCTTTTACAGCAAGCATGGGTTGCTGAAGACCTATTCTTACCCAGAAATGCAGCCTCGCAATGTATTCTACTAAAAAAATGTTGAGGACCACCCATATTTTTTCACATAACTACAGTTAATCTGAATTGTTTAATAAGCATTACTTAGAAGTTGATGGATGACAAAGTAGACACAATTTATGGATAACAACTTCTTTAATTACTGTTAAGGCCTTGTACTGTGTCAAGTATTGTCAGTTTAATACTGTATAGTCCCCATGGCTCGGGTGTCAAGCACATAGCTCTACTGTATCTAGCCTGATAACTTAGTGAATCTACCCGTGACCTTGAAGCTTCACGCTGGTCCAAAAGGGTGGTGCACAGGTGCAACCCCACTCCCGATACATATGGGAGTTTTAATGATCAGGAATACTGATAGCAAACATGTCACAACACTTAGCTTACTCATTGGATATATTTTTTCAACAACAAAAACCATGACAATCAAAGTTGCAAATGAGTTTTGGGATCATTTTCATGGAAATTTATGATCACAAAAGGCAGTCCTTTCCCTGCGCTTGTTTGCAGTATTTACCCTGTTATTCAACATGTCATGAGGAATCTAATCTAGTTTTCATTACCTAGTATTTTTCACAATCTCCAACAAAGTCAGAGGTGTGTCAGTGTGCCTACAAACTAAGACAGACAGACACACACACACACACACACATATATATATGCATTCAAGTATCTACACAACAAGTGGTGTTGACATATTACACTAAACTACCTGGGTATCTACACAACACAATAGTCAGTGAGTTGGAATAACGCCGCTTTCAACAGTATTTCAGTCATATTAGTTGTGTCAGCAAGTGGTGTTGACATAATACACTAAACTACCTGGGTATTTGAGGACTGTCGAGTGAGACTATTAGTAGGCATTACCAACAGTGAGAGCAGCTGACCACAGCACAGGGAGCAACCAGCTGGGTCCATCGGGGATGTTGAGGATACGATGTTAGCTGAGAGATTATATCGCACTATCAGCTGAGAGACAATATCCCACCATCAGCTGAGAGATAAATCCCACCATCAGCTGAGAGACAATATCCCACCATCAGCTGAGAAATATTATCGCACCATCAGCAGAGAGACAATATCCCACCATAAGCTGAGAGACAATATCCCACCATCAGCGGAGAGACAATATCCCACCATCAGCTGAGAGACAATATCCCACCATCAGCTGAGAGACAATATCCCACCATCAGCGGAGAGATAAATCACACCATCAGCTGAGAGACAATATCCCACCATCAGCTGAGAGACAATATCCCGCCATAAGCTGAGAGATAAATCATACCATCAGCTGAGAGACAATATCCCACCATCAGCTGAGAGACAATATCCCACCATCAGCTGAGAGACAATATCCCACCATCAGCGGAAAGACAATATCCCACCATCAGCGGAGAAATGATATGGCACCATCAGCGGAGAGACAATATCACACCATCAGCGGAGAGACAATATCCCGTCATAAGCTGAGAGATAAATCCCACAATCAGCGGAGAGACAACAGCACACTATCAGCTGAGAGTTGATATCACACTATCAGCTGAAAGACGATATCACACTATTCTTCCAAAGATGTCACCACCCAATTCCCATTTAGTCCATTAGAACACCACAGGGCCCAAAGGACCTATCCTACACGTATTTAACCTCACTGAACATTCAAGACATGAATAAAGCTAATAAAGCAAGTTCCATAACAAGGCATATAAAAAATTGTACAGGTACTAGGTCTACAAACATATAGAGCATTATGCGTAACATATATTTTGTGGCCTTGAACTCAGCATCAGATAAACATGGACCAGCTCCCACTGATCCACTGGTGGCAGACAAACATGGAGCTGCACTTTCATCATCTTCACAATATTTCACAATATGAAATTCATTATGGTAGATATTAAGTAGTACGGTAAGTGTCAGTGACAAACATCTACAAGTTGCAACACAGATGTCTCTGAACGTCACAAACGTATTTCATGGATTAGATAGGACATGTTTAATACTAAATGTTGTAGAATCAATAATGCACTTGATTCTTGTGAGGAAGCCAGCTGTCTCTAGAGAGTTGGTGAGGCCTGAAAAAGACAAGATTTATATGACAGTGAGTTTGGCTTTAATGATGCCGTTAACAGTTTTTCAGTCACATAATCATTGATCATGGTCTGTGGTATAAAAGTACAATATGAAAGAGGTGAACACATTTGTAACTTTAATGTACCACCAGCAGGCAAGCCTTCCGAGCAGATCCTGGCAACTGAGGGGAACAACTTACCACTGGAGCAGTGCATGAGTAAGTAAGTGATTAATGCAACAGTATTCCAGAAACTGACCACATACATTAATTTATCATATAATGGGTAGGTTTCTCGTTAGGATAAAGCCAACGGATAAAAACGATATCTGTTGGGGTCATATGCAGATAGAGATGCAAATATGAAAGGTCAAGTAGGACTGCTTTCACTGTTTGTAAACAAACATGGCGTCACCCTCGTCATTCGGCGATCGAGTCAGAATTAACCATTGGGAATCTGGATAAACTACAGGGATAATTGCCATCATTATCAAAAGAACAGTCTAATATACTGAAAATCAGTGTCTAACTGTGACGTAGCTAAGGCATTTTATAAGTTTTGGCAACTTTGGAGATATAAATTTCGAAACAATTTTGCCAGGGCACAAGGCCTAGCCAAGCGGGATCAGTAGCCATATCTGTGCTTGTAGACCTCTGCGGCTTGAAACCTTCACAAATTCTTGCCAAGGCTCGCTAAATACAATGTTTATTCCTAATGCTGGATATTTACCATCCCCAAACACACTCGCGTGATAACCTCTATTGAACTGTATTTGAAACTTACAGGACAGGACTAGAAATCCGAAAGGAAAATACATGTAGCAATAAAAAATCGCTTCACCCACCCAACAGAAAAAGAGTAAATGTACCTTTGGAAGTTAGTGCAATCAGGGCTATGATTGCTTTGTAAATGAATCTGTGCTATATTTCTCAGAGCAAGGATATTGTGGCTCTATATGTTAAACGCCAGTCCAAGGTGATTACTTGTAAATTCCCCATGCTATGCTAAACTCACCAGCTCTTTGCGCACTATTGTCACGTGAGTGTTGATTGCCTGGTGCAGGGTAGCGAAGTACTTCAGGCGGGTCAGCCCCTCGGAGCCCAACTCCTTGTTCAGATAACCCACACACACTTGGTACTTAGTTTTCACAAGGTTCAGTTTCCTTAACCGCTTCTTGCCCAAAGAGCCTGTAAAAGTTGTCAATAGTTTCTTCCGGTCATCATGAAGTTTATGAATGTCATTTTTCAGACTCTGCACCAGGTTTGTCTGATTCTTGATGGCCGCCTCTAACTTTTCCTTCACATTCTTCTCAATGTCCAGTTTCATGGACAGTAGGCGAGCATAGGGCTTCTTGGAAATAGCAGACAACAGAATCAAGAAGCATCCTTCTTCTGAGTGGTACTTCCTCTTCTCACTCTGAAGCAGAATGTCATCTGGAACCTTCTGATGTGCTCGGCCAATAAAGCTCAATTTTTGGAATCCTTCCATTAAGTCACTTGCCACCTGCTGTAGGGCATCTTTTTGCCTACTGAGAACCTGGTTGCCGCTATGACCTCGTCCAGAGGGTGCACTATCTGCCTCCATAGATACGTCACTAGAGAAATCTAGACAGTCCTCAGCGGGACTTCCACATGACACTGTGTTTCCAACCAGATTGTGTGTGTCATTCCTCCTGTCCTGTCTCCCTGCATGCTGGGTGTTGTACCACTGCCCTGGAGTTGGCTGAATGTGGCTCAGATTGTTTGTTTTCACCAGTCTCTGAACATCATCCGACATCTTCTGACGGTACTGCATTACAGACAAACCGTTTGACCTTGATTCCATAGCAGTTGTCAAAAGGTTGACATTAGTTTGGGCAATCTGTAAGTTCAATTCAAGTGACATGATACCACTGTGGAGATAATTCTGAGGATTTTTTAAGGGCGGATTTACACAATTTTGCAATCCTGACGATTGACCAGCAGCGGAGACTTGTTTGGTAGAAGTTTGCAAAGCCTCTGAACATTTCTTGATGCATTCCTGGACCACCTGCAGCTCCATGAGAATCTGTTCCTTGGTGAAGTCTTCCAGCTTCCTCTCGAGAGACACCTCTGTCATGGAGTCATCAGGACACAAGCGAAAATTGCCACAAGCTTTCTTCTCCAGCTTCTTCTCATAATGGGCTGCAACAACCTTCGCTTTCTGAACCATTCTTCGTCTTTTATGCTTCGTTTGTTCAGCTAAAACAGTGCTCAGCGGCCATGGAATTTTGTCCTTTACCTTAATTGGATCCAAAACACCAAGTTTGAACTTCAAGTATGTTTCAATGGTGAGTGGAATGATCCTAACAGACCCATCATCTCGGCTGTTCTCCGACACCAGCTTGCCACTGAGTTCCTCCAGGTCTTCAATACTGTCTCCAGAGATGCTGGAAGAGTCATCTGGAGTGTCAGTTGTCTCAAGCTTCTCCTGATCACATCGATATAATTCAAATGACAGTTCATCATTGTAGTCAACTGTCTCCCTTGGTTTCTTAACCAGATCAGGACTACATCTGTGTTCAGAATACCTGGTACTCTTACTCAGGAGCAAAGTTGACCAGTCTGTGGCACCTGTATTGATAACCTGTCTTTGTCTTCCAGAAGATAACGCCTTTGATTTCATGTCCTCTTTTTCATCATACCTTTCCTGAATATTCAAACTGCTCTCATTTCGGTTTTCTTTTGAATCTGCTTTTTCCTGCAATTCAACTTTTCTTACATCTTGTTTATCGACATGAATGATGACTGGTTCCATCTTGGTACCGTTTCTGCTTGTAGAGCACACCTTTCTACTGTCAAGGAGTTCACTCGAAGATCTTGCATCATCCAAAGATCTCAAATCATGTGAGAGTCTTACATCACCGAAGGACCTCACATCACATGAATATCTTCCATCACTTGAGGATCTGACATCACTTGAAGATCTTCCATAACTTGAGGATCTTCCATCACTTGAGGATCTGACATCACTTGAATATCTTCCATCACTTGAGGATCTGACATCACTTGAAGATCTGACATCACTTGAAGATCTTCCATCACTTGAGGATCTGACATCACTTGAAGATCTTCCATCACTTGAGGATCTTACTTCAATCGAATATCTTCGATCACTTGAGGATCTGACATCACTTGAAGATCTTCCATCACTTGAGGATCTGACATCACTTGAAGATCTTCCATCACTTGAGGATCTTACTTCACTTGAATATCTTCGATCACTTGAGGATCTGATATCACTTGAAGATCTTCCATCCCGTGAGGATCTGAAATCACTTGAATATCTTCGATCACTTGAAGTTCTGACATCATTTGAAGATCTCCGATCACTTGAGTATCTCCCATCACTTGAGGATCTGAATTCTCGTGAAGATCTTATATCACTTGAAGATCTTACATCACTTGAAGTTCTCACATCATTTGAGGATCTCCTATCACTTGAATATCTCCTATCACTTGAATATCTCATATTATTTGATGATCTAACATCCCGTGAGGATTTTGCATCATTTGAAGATCTTGGGTCATTTGAGGATCTCCCATCACTTGGGGATCCTACTTCTCGTGAGGATCTCCCATCATTTGGAGGTCTCACATCACTTGAAGATCTCACATCGTTTGAAGATCTCACATCACTTGAGGATTTCCCATCATTTGAAGGTCTCACATCACTTGAAGATTTCACCTCGTTTGAAGATCTCACATCACTTGAAGATCTCACCACTTTTGAGGATCTCACATCTTGTGAAGACACTACATCCAGTGACGATTTGATATCAACAGAGGGTTTGACATCACTTGAGGACTGTACATCCAGAGAGGATCTTGCCTCTTGAGAATTCAGTTCCTTTCTTCGTGTTTCTTGATTCTCTTCACTGTCACTAGTAACATAAGATAGGCTATGAAGCGCATTGAGAATCTTTTCTCTTTCCTTGGATAAAAAATCCAATGGCTGTCCCAATAATTTATCCTTTGGTTTGGGTCCTGGTGACGGACTGAGAGAGTTCCTGCTAGAGTTTGGTTCAGGTGAGCTGTATCCAGTTTTCTCTGATTCAAGTCTTGTGATGACCGACCGAATAACAACTTTCCTGATTGGGGAATGTGAAGTTTTTATGTCATTGCCAGCATGCACAGCCTCCCCAGCATGTGCATCCCGGCTAGATTCGCCTAAAAAAGGACCCTGTCTAATAGGTGATGATGTAGAGCTTGAAGGGTTTGAGGTTGAACCATTACTACCTCCTTTATCAAGAGTCCATGACTTAGAGCTGTCTGAAGACTTACAATACTTAGACTGAGATTCTGGTGTGTGTTCCTTGGTGCTTTGCTTCTCGGGGGAAGACTGATGAGATTCTGGTGTTAACTCTCTTGGCACAGATGATTCTCTTGGCTTCGGGGCAAACATATCAGCAAACCAGTCTGCTGGGTCACTAGACTTCCGTGGCTCGGCCGATGGGGGCTTGCCAGATGTAGGAACCTGTACCAACATTGACATTGGGCGTACAGGAAGAGGTGGAGGAGGTTGGTTTAGGTTAAAGAGTGGTCTCTGAATAGGAACACCGCCAGGCCCATAGGGTTGTTGTCCATGTGGGCCAGGTAGTGGTCCTGGTGGAGGCAATGGCATTCTCTGCTGCTGTTGCCCCAGGACAGGAATACTAGAAGCAACTTGAGGCGGAGGAAGTGCTATCATACCTCTAGGTCCACACATTTGTGGGTACCCATAGTTTGGCGGCCTGGACATTGGTTGTTGTGTATTCCCACCAAGCGGAGGAGGGGGATAGGCTGTGTTGACATGCTGCATTCCATGTACTTGTTGTGGCTGTGTCATAGGTGGTTGAGGTCTTACACCAGGCTGTTGGGGTCTAGGTGGAGGGGGACCGGCAGTTGTTTGCATCGCCTGAGGTGGCATACCAGGTGGCCGCTGCTGAGGAACCATGTGAGGCTGGGGTGGTCCTCCTTGTTGCAGCCCATGATGTGGAATCGGCTGAAGTAAAGTAGGTGGTTGCTGATGAAACCTCAAAGGAACAGGAGGATGTGAAAGGTTAGCATTGTGTGGAGGGCACATGACAGGTGCTTGTACAGGATGAGGTGGAAACCTTAGGTGTTGCTGCTGTCCTGGGACAGGGTGTCCAGGTGGCATGGTGCCTTGAGGAAGTCCTGTATTTACTTGTGGGAGTCTTGTGTTGACTGGAGGGAGTCTTGTATTGACTGGTGGGAGAAATCCTGGAGCCGAAACTCGGGATGGTGGTGGAGGTGGTGGTGGTGGTGGTGGTTGGACAGGAGGAACTGAAGGCCTCACCTGGGAGGGAGCAGGCAGAACCAGAGGTTGACCTGACAGAGCAGCAGAGAAGGTAGGAATCCACATTGACTGTACCGTACTTTGGCCAAGACTTGTAGTTAAAGTTTCTGTCTTCGGTGGAGCAGATTCAGCAGGTACCCACGCAGACACTGGTGGTGTTGTGCATCCTCTAGTTTTACCTAGAACAGGGATAGACTGACCGCTGGGCTTCATGACAACACTGTTCTGTACATCAGACACGTTGCTGCTTTTGGGGGTCATGTCAGATTGTGCTGAGTCTTTACTTTCAAAACTGGTGGAACTGCTTCTGCTGGCAGGAACAGAGGAGGGAGATTTCTTGACACCCATTTTGTACTGAACTGTCGGTATGACTCTTGTCATTGGTCCTGACAATGTCGCTGTGGACACCTGTGGAGATGAAGTCAAAGCTGGTGACACAACTGAATGTTGAGATACAGGCAATAATATTGCCGACACAGTGGTCTTAGTTTCAGCGACTTTCAACTCAGAATAAACACTGGTGGTTTTAGCTTCGGACTTTTTCTTCTTTCCTCCCACACATAAAGTAATTGACAGTTTACGTTTCATGATATCTTTAATTGGACTGAATGTGTTGTGAGTTCCATTGATGTCAAGATCTTCCTCAGTAGACTTTGACTTGGCCTCTTTTGTTTCCTTCTCCTGTCCTTTATCAGTCAGAGAGCTTGCCTCCATCTTGGTGGAAGTCTTCTGAAGCTTCAGGTGCAGAGGTTTGTCACCTTCAATGGAGTTATATCCTCTTTTCTTCTCATCTACTTTCTGGACTGGCTTCTCATTAGTCACGACCTCTTCTTCCTCCTTCTTCACTTCCAGCTTTACAGCTTTTGTTTGAAGTTTCTTCTCATGATGACATGGTTCTTCTTGGACTATGAGATCAAGTCCTGGCACAGTATTCGTCCTGCGATAGTGCGAACTTTTCACCACGTCCTCCGTTTTTAAAGATGGTTTCACATCTGTCAGCAACAAATCTGGTTCCGATTTTATTTCCACTTTCATCTTGAGGCTACCATGCTCCTCTGTGTCTGATTTGCAGTCCTTCATGACGCTGTCCTGCCCCAGATCCACATGATGCATATAGGGTTGGATAGAGCTGACAATGTCTTTACACTTTTGACACTCTCCAGTATAGGAGTTGTATACCTGAAAACACAATGAAATAATTATCAAATACGCACTGTAAAGCCAAAACATAATAGAGGCGGTGGGGTAACCTTGTGGTTAAAGCATTCATTTGCCGTACTGAAGGCCTGGGGTTTTGAATTACCACATGTGTACAGTGTGTGACAGACATTTCTCATCCAAAGATGATATTTTTTAGATCTGCTTGTAACCAAACCACAAAAGATCTTACTGTAGAGCAATTTGAGTATAAAAACACTCATTTCAACTCTCGTTTTGAGGAACTATTTTCTTTCCATGATACAGATGCCTTATATATCTGTCAGTATAAACACATCTTCCTGAGGCAAGGGAGTTAGCTGACTGTAAAAGTCCAGTTTCCACACTTGCCAGACCCCTGAAGAATAGGTCTTCAGCAACCCATGCTTGCCGTTAAAGGCAACTATGCTTGTCGGAAGAGGATCGGGTGGTCAGGCGTGCTGACCTGGTTGATGCATGTCATCAATCCCAATTGCGTGGATCGATGCTCATGATATCAATCACTGGATTTACAGATCGCCGTCATATAGCTGGAATATTGCTGAGTGCGGCGTTAAACAACCACCCAACTTGCCGAACATGTGGAGTTCTTCATGATACTATCCTGCCCCAGATCCAGGCTGGAAGCTGGACCTTCTGGCATAATACATATTAATGCACACATTTCAAGAAAACTTCCAATGTACTGTTTGTGAGCAATAAGAATAGGTTTTCCAACAACAGAATTTAAGAATGACATTTTGTGATAAAGAGGGTATCACGCCAAGGCTCACTTTATTCCTAATACAGGATATTTACCATCCCAAAACATGTGATAACCTCCACTTACCTGAATATAGTCTGTCAGCTCCACTTTGGGCTGTAATCTTTGAATGCTTCTGACATCAAGAGATCGATGCACTCCAACTTGAGCCGACTCTACAGCAGGCGAGACAGGTCTTGATGCCAGCGAAGTCATCGACACACTCTCTGTTCCATAACTGTAGCTATCATCATCAGAATTTGGCAGTGTCTCTACAAAGGTATGAGGCTGATCAAAACTGAAGTCCCCATAATCAATATCATCATTGTCATATTCAATGCTAAAGTTCTCAGATGGGCACGGAGACCATGGTTTCTGATCACTCTCTACATCAACCCTCTTTCTGACAGGAAGCTTCTTTTTCCGCTTTCTCCTCTTCTTATAACCTGCTAAATCTTTATCCACTTTCTTCTTCTTAACCTTCTTGCCCCCGTCAGGTTTACCCCCCTGCACTACTTTCTTGTTCTTGAGATCCTCCTTCTCAATGACCTCAGTCCATGACCGGGCCTGGGTTACAGGTGCATCCTCCTCAGGCTTCAGTTTGGGAGCTGGAGGCTTGAGTGACAATGGAATAATAGCAGCAATGTTGTCCACCTCGGTTATGTCTTGGAGCTTTGGTTTCTGGAAACACAATATTTTTTTGAAATAATTCACAAATGAAACTGGAGGAGAGCAGAGATTTACTGTACATGAATCTGGATGGTAGAGTGTGGTTTATACTGCTTTGAACAGTAAATCCATTACTGTATTTTCTGTGTTCGGCACCTGCTTAAATAAGCACCCACTGACCAACTCCTATACCAGTCTGTACGTAATCTTTATGAGGGGTGCATATTAAGACTGAAAATTTACATGACATTGCATATTTTCTAGTTTATATTAAATACATTTTTACAGAAAAAAGCAGTGCAGAAGGGGTATATAACTGCCTAGTAACAATTACCAAAAAGGTTTTAGTTAGAACTATATTGTTCATTACCAATCTATTTCTGACAAGCTTGACTTGTGTGTAGTTTTAACCAGTGCCCCTCATTGTTACTTTTCAAAGCTGACAGGGCAGTTATTACACGTCTTCCTGAGGCAAGGGAGTTTACTGTCCATGAAAGTCCAGTTTCCACCCTTGCCAAACTAGGCTGGAATCTCAAGGGTTGATCAAAACACCACCAGTGGCTAAAAAAAGTATCATGTTTAAAGTATCCTTGTTTACAGTGACAATATGATAAATACGCAACCTAAAGTTGTCTGAACAATGAAATTATCAAACACTAAAAATACAAACTTTTATTTGCTCTTGCTCTGCAGAACTTGGCCGTTCCTTCTCTGTAAAGAGTGAGCGCTTGATGGGCTTGTCATCACTGTCTTTCTGTTCCTCTGTGCTGAGGCTTGATACTGTCTCAATCTTGTCTGGTGGGGATGGTTTCACAGGAGTCATCTCCACATCACTACTAACTTCCCCCCCACCATCTATCCGTGGGGCCATCCACACTCCTTCACACAAGTCCTCACACACATTGTTATCATCTCGGGCCTCGTACCTCCTCTTGTCACTCGCATCTTTATCAGAACTAACATATTCATCTGCCTCTCTCAATTGATCAACATTTGCCGTAGAAAATTTTCTTCTCGGTGATGAATCATCATGGTGACTTCTTCTCGGTGATGAATCGTCATGGTGACTTCTTCTCGGTGATGAATCTTCATGGTGACGATCTGACAAGTCTCTTCTTCCGTACTCTGATCTTGGAGATCTGCGCGGGGAGTGGTATCGTGAACTCCTATAGTCAACATCGCCATACCTACTGGCATCTTCATGTCTTGGGCTATCACGTCTCGGCCTGTGATCATATGATCTCCTATCGTATCTGGATTCATGTGATCTGCGGTCATCATCATACCTGTATCTCTGGTCTCGTCTCCTGTCGTCCCTCCTCCTGTAGTCCACATCCTCAACGTTACCCTTCCAGTAGTCATCCGACTGAGATCCCCCGTAATGCCGCGAAGAATCACTGCCACTAAATCTCGAGTCTTTCCATTTATAATCATCGTAATCTGAATCTCTGTAATTTGAATAACGCGAGTCTCGGTCCCTGGGGCTGCTCTGCCAGGACTCCCATCTTGAACTGTGTTGTCTGGCATCCGAATCAGTATCTCTGAACTCCAGATGATCTCTACCTGATTGCACATCATCCCTGAATCCTTGCTGTCCGGGGTCACCAGTGTGATACCCTTGAAATGGTGAAGAACTTATTTCTCTGTATCTCTCAGGGGGGGCTTGTTGAAGTTCGGTCTGAGGTTGTACTGTTGGTCCCTTCAGAACGAGTTTAGATATTAAGTCCTTGACATCCCCAAAAGACTGAAGTTTAGTCACAAGATCCTTCACATCATCTTGACTCATATCCTTTGGTGCGGACTGCTGTGGCTCACTCTGCAGCTCCGACTGAGTCAGAGTTTGTGTCTGAGGTGTTACCGGACTTATGGTTGAAACAGACAACCCAGGCAGAACGGACGATAAACAAACACTAGACTTTGGACTAGACTGGATTCCTTGGTGCACAGGGCTATCTTTAAGAACAGAAGCAGGAAAAGAGGGACTATCTGGCCCACTTGGACTGCTCTGTATGTTCATTGATAATGAATGAGCATCGGATTTCATATTCTGTGAATCTTGAATTACTGGACTCCCATGCAGGTCTCTGGCAAAGGGATTACTCAAAGTAGAGGCAGGACCAGGACTCCTAGGAGCTTGTGAAGCAACAGGACTTTGCGTAAGTTTTGAAAAATCAAGTTGAATAATCTTCTTGACAGCTGCATATGGGTCCTTATAGTCTGCACTCCCTTTTGGTGAATAAAGAAGAGATGTGTCTTTGGTAGCTGATCCAACTTCAGAACTGGGGGATTCAGGAAAATATGGTTCATCATAACTAGGTGCATCTTGAAAGTGTGACAGAGCTGACGGAGGCATCTGGATCTGGTTTGAGGAAGAGACGGTACCAGAGACATCATCACTTTCCTGGCGATGGAGGGGGCGACATGTAGGAGGTACAGTGGAGGATGAAACTAGGGTTGGTGACATAGTAGGATCAGAAACAAAGGAAGGTAGTAATGATGAGGCAGAATCTGAAAATGGAGTTGGAGCTGGGACAGATTCAGAAGCTGAGAAAACTGGAGTAGCTGGAGGGGGTACTGGGGCTGGTACTGGGGCTGGTACAGGGGCTGGTACTGGAGCTGGTACAGGGGTGGAAACTGGAGATGAGACAGGGGCTGGGACAGGGGCTGGGACAGGGGCTGGGACAGGGGCTGACTCGGGTACTGTGAGCTGGCTAGGGGTAGAGGACGAAGTTCCTGCAACTGCAATTGATAAGCCAGCCTTGGAGAAGCGACTTGGAGGATAGATTCCAGCTTGAGTGGATGAGGTCACCACTGTTTGACCTTCTATGGTACTGGTCACAGGGACAGCAGAAGCTAAGGTCAAGTCACGTACAACTTCGACTGCTGTTACTGGAACTGAAGGAACAGGAACGGGTGTGATTGTAGGCAGTGAGGAAATGGATGTTGTAGATTTTGCTACATTCTGCTTGTCAGATTGTTTGAAGCGTGTTGAATAGTCAGCAAAACTGATCTTTTTCTTTTTTTCTTTGGCTTCGGCTTTCTTCTGGTCCATTTGTTCTTGGACTTGCTTGACAACACTATTTTGAGCTTGATCCTCACTTGTGATGGCCATTTCATCCTGACCAGTTGTCCCCCACAGCTGTTCTACTGTTTTTATCATTGATTTCATTTGAGGGCTGATTGTCTTCTGTTCCATTGGGAACTGATTAAACATGGCATCACCACCTACATGTTGACCTGAGGGTATTTCAATGGTTCTGTGGCGAGGATCATTTAAAGCCATCCTTGGATCAGAGGGAGCTAGGCGGGGATCACCTGTTATCAAACGTGGATCCATAGGTAATATTCGCGGGTCTGCTAGTGTTAACCTAGGGTCACTTGGCGGAAGTCGAGGATCAGCTAGTCGTGGATCACTTGTAGCATCCCCGACATCGGAAGTGTTTCTTCTCCTGGCGATACGGGGGTCCTCCCGTACTGATGGGATCTTGTATCCTGCACTGCCTACTGGCACAGGGGGAGAGGACAAAGGGCCAAAACCAGACTCCTGTCGTGGGTAGGTTGCGACCGATTCATAGCTGCTTCTTCTGGGACCTACATTCAAGTCACCACGGGACTTCCACTTGTGGCCCAATGCAACCTGGGAAGACTTCCAGTAGTCACTTCCTGTGGATTTCGTCCCGTATGAACTCCGACCAGGCTGACCATAGGCAGCCCCTGATGTCTCCTTCCTCTCATACTGCAGCAAAGCATATGGCAGACAGTGACGAGGCCTCCCGGATGGCAGAGCTTCATCAGTGTATTCATACAGGTAAATCTGCAAATGAAAACATAAATGTCTCATGCACTTTTTCTCACCAATATCAACAAATTTTCACAGGGAGAATTTTGCTAAGCCCCTCCACCCATTGGCCAACATCTACATACATAAAGAGTATTTGCAGCAAGACTGGATAGAGAATCAATATAATTTTATATACATTTAAAAAGCATGCTTTAGAGTCTTTGTCTTTTGACTTGTCTCTTGTGAGGATTCTGATGAGCTCCTCTCCCTTCTATAAGTTAAGTAATGAATCATTAAAGAGTACAATCCTCCATATCCACATGGCCATACCTAAAAGAATTGTCCTGACCAATGAGGCTTCACTGTAATTATTTTTCGACAGCTTAATTCCCATTCAACTGATAAAAGAGTGATTCCAAGGCCTACGTGTGACCTCTGTAGTGAGTGAGTGAGTTTGGTTTAACGCCGCTTTTAACAGTATTCCAGTCATATTGCGGCGTGTCAGCTTAATGTGGGAGGAAAGCCCGAAGTGATGCAGGTCTCAGACGTTTACAACTTCGGTGAAACCCACGAGCATGGGTATGGTGCTGACAAAGCTAGAAACATAATCGGGGCGAACCAGGATTCGAACCCACAATCATAGGTTTCTGGCGTGCCCAAGGAACGCAACTCTGCACAGCAAATCGCGGCGCCTAAGACGACTGGGCCACCTGTGCCCCCTGTGACCTCTGAAGCTGGACGGTGTGAGTGAAGTGGGTCTGAGCTGCCCTGAAAGATATGTGACCTACCTGTGACCTCTGTAGCTGAATAGTGTGAGTGGAGTGGGCCTGGGCTGCCCTGACAGATATGTGACCTACCTGTGATCTCTGTAGCTGGACGGTGTGAGTGGAGTGGGCCTGGGCTGCGCTGACCAACACATGACCTACCTGTGACCTCTGTAGCTGGACGGTGTGAGTGGAGTAGGCCTGAGCTGCGCTGACTAACACATGACCTACCTGTGACCTCTGTAGCTGGACGGTGTGAGTGGAGTGGGCCTGGGCTGCTATGACAGACATGTGACCTACCTGTGACCTCTGAAGCTGGACAGTGTGAGTGGCGTGGGCCTGGGCTGCGCTGAGCAACACATGACCTACCTGTGACCTCTGTAGCTGGACAGTGTGAGTGGAGTGGGCCTGGGCTGCACTGACCAACACATGACCTACCTGTGACCTCTGTAGCTGGACGGTGTGAGTGGAGTGGGCCTGGGCTGCGCTGACCGACACGTGACAGTCATAGTTCGGGGTGGGCTCCACCAGAAGCTCCGGTGTGGTTGCGATCTGTTGTGCCTTGCATCGACCTAGAGTCACCTGCAGGGGAGACAACTGGTGATAAGTGAAGGAAACAAACTATATCATTTCAATGTAGGGACCCCCATTACCCAATCTCATTGAAATCAGATCTTAGTTCTCGCTACCGCTAAACAAAGATCTGAGGACATGCCATTATGGGTCATGTGAGACCGACCTTGCGCAAACCTTGACCAACCAATGGAATGACCAATCAGAAGGCAGCTTTCTCATGCTTTACGGCACTAATTTCAAAATGGCGACTATGCTTTGAAACATATTTTTACAAATTCTTGATTTAAAATTTGAAACCTGAACAAAAGAACATTCTTGAATAGATAGTCTAGATTGTATGGATTCAGTCATTAAACCCATAACTATCGTTCGGAATAACCCGTGTTAAAGTTTTCGAAGTTGCATGATTAGAAATCACATTCCGACTGTCACTTTCATGATCTGGTAAGCGACGCTCTGATGATTGGTCAAATGAAAGGTCGTTCTAACGTGACCCCTAATGGGATATCCTCAGATCTTTGTTTAGCGGTAGCGAGAACTAAGGTCTGATTTTAATAAGATTGCCTTTACCTTTTAACATTAGGGTTATGACAAGTACCCCATGATTTATACTTCTCAAAAGAAGTTAAGGACCACCCATATCTTTCATACTACTATGGTAAGTCTGTTATGTCATGACAGATTAATGAAAGTAGTATGTCTCTTTGTTTGTTGTGTAATGCCACACTCAGCAATATTCCAGCTATACGACAGCGGTGTGCAAATAATCAAGTCTGGACCAGATAAGTCAGTGATTTACATCATGAGCATCGATCTACGCCATTGGTAAACGATGACATACATCAACCAAGTCAGCGAGCCTGACCACCCGATCCTGTTTGTAGCCTTTTACTGCAAACATGGGTTGCTGAAGACCTGTTCAAACAGGTCCGACAGTAATATGAAAGAATCAGGTGGTCCTTAACTTCTTTTGAGTAGTCTACATGCTTACTATAAAACACTATTGATCGCTGCATCACTCTTGTATATGTTCAGAAATTTTTAAATACCATATTGTCTTTGTACAGTTCACACTTTATTTCCGCAAATACAGCTGTCTATTTTTTAACTGAATCACCGGATGATCGCTACAAAAATGTGTGTACAGCTGATTGCTATTTCTGGCTAATTTTTCGAGACAATTACACACAGTAATCTTAATCTCTACACTTACAACAATGCCTAGCAAACAGTAAATATCCCAAAGAACACCCAAAACTGGAAGGCTGTGTGTTGCAAAACCCACCAGCCATGACAGATGAACTATAGTCACATAACAAAAATCAGGTGTTTTTAACTTCTTTTGAGTAGGATACAGTTGAAATTGTAAATCATCATGCAAATAATATTTTTCAATGACTAAGTTTTTTATCTATGGTTCGTTTCCCTGAAGTGATGTGACGTGGTTTTTGACTGCACACTATATATGAAAGAGCAATTTCCAAAAAAAACTTATACCCAAGAATAGGAGTGAGTATTATACTCTAGTGTACACTATACAACAGACAATACAGTAGTTCTGTAAGAATGTATAAAACAAGGGCCGGCCATGTTCCACCGGTACCAAGAAATCGTCAGTGAGACAGCAGCCAGGAAGTTTATGGAGTCACACAAACAAGAGTATCCCTGTGGCCAGTTTATTGTCAGGCTGTCACACTGGTCCTTGTGTGGACAAATCGGACTCCTCATCAGTGATGACCATCAGAAGAGTGGAGGAAAAGTTTACATTTTTCCATTTTGATTTTCATTTCAATGTGTCCACATCCTCATCCATCGAGGTTATTCATATTCAGGGCAACAATACTATTGATTTCCTGTTGAGATGCCCGAGTCTTTCCTTGGGGAACGCCCAATGCTTTTCTGTATTCTGTATATATTTTTGACAAAGACAAACACTCAGGTTACAGGCTTGTTTTACCTCTTCACATATTAACAAGAAACTTTTCGATGATTGAGGATGTTTGAAAATATTTTAATTTTACCTTGAATACGCAAACACTCGCCAACTTTTCCTCCCTCAATTCTGCGAGCTTCAGCTGCACATCAGGATGTTTACACACATACACCCCACTTGTATTGTCACCTGCAATGAGATTACATGGGATAACATCACTGTATCTACCTGGCAGCATCATTCTCCACCAAAATGCTTCAGATTCAACCAATCAGCACCAGCCTTCACCAATCAACATCTGGTTAAACCAATCAGCTCCAAACACAAGCCACTGGACACAAACACTGGAGCCAGTGTGTCAACCAATGAGAATTATTAACCTGATGTACCTGTCCAACATAAGTCTCACTATACCACAACACACCTCAGAATCTAATACCGTCTTGTCTCGAGGTACTGGCATATGACAGATACTCCACTTTTACACAACTCACCCCATAGCATCGTTCTCACAGCCAACTAATACCTGGAAGTGCCTGCTTGTCTGAGAAGACCCTGGCAGATATCTGGGAGAGATAGAGAACAAGAGCTCCACAGGTAATAAGAATCTTCTTTCTTTCTTTGTTTATATGTTGTTTAATGCTTCACTCAGCAATATTCCAGCTATATGATGGTGGTTTGTAAATTATCGTGTCTGGACCAAACAATCCAGTGAATGACATCATGAGCATCGACCCATGCAATTGGGATACGATGACATGCATCAACCAAGTCAGCCAGTCTGACCACCTGAACCCACTGCATGAACTTAGAACGAGAAGTCAAATTGATGAAATATTCTAGAAAGACTGATCATAGTCATTTGAGTTGGTTATGAAATATCAATAGTTCTTTGTGCAGGATGGGTGACTCCACTGAGGGTGAGGGGTGGCTGAAAAAATGTTGCTGTTGCACAAGTGTGGAACTGGGCATTGAAATACCCATCCCGGGGCTTGCTGACAACAAGTCTCAGGACACGAATTCTGGTGGCAACAAGACTCAATCAAGCTCTGATGACAACGAGGAAGAAGATGGTGCCGGTATAAATTTGACTATTACCAGTAGTCTGAACTTTGGAGAATAGTCACTGAAACTTTCCAATATTCTAGCCAGTGTCGGGACCATTGAATCAATGATTTTATGGATTTTTCAGAAATACTGTAAATCTGGAAAGTTTTGTGACATGAAGTTACTGCGATTATAAGCCTTAACTGCATCTGGATAGTTTTGCAACACCCTGTTAACATTACCAGATATCGAAGCTACTTTTGCAGGTGCCTATGTTTGTAGGAAGCAGCATGATGCAAAGGTACCTCATTGTCAGTCAGGGATGAAATAGTATACAGGGATGAAAATGGATATGTTCCTTTTCAGCTGAAACTTCTTTTCAATGGAGTATGGTGCATAATTTGGGGGTGTTCATCAGAATTTAACAAATTTGTGGTCACTAAAATTTGTGGATCCGCGGAAGATTCTCATCCCTGAGTATAAAGTTACAACTGTGTTTTGGGATTTTTTTAAATTAATGTAAAATAAAATAAATCAAATATGTGTATCTTGCTCTTTGTCTAGGTCACAATTTTGCAGGAGCTTACATTTTTATGAAACATATTTAGGTGATAAACTCAGTTTGTTTTCAATGTAGATCTAGGTTACCTGTAGATTTAACCCCACTACATTGAATTTGGAACCAAATGCGCAGCGTGAGGTTTCAAATGTTAAATTTAGCACGGTTAAATCTACAGGTAACCTAGCTCTACATTGAAAACACAGTATGTTTATCTCAATTTTACCATGACTAAATAAAACGCGAACTCTTTGGTGTTAGCAAATATACTGAGTGAAGCTGCATGGGTTGAGTTCAGTGTTTTGAGTGGGTTATCGATCTGAATTACGGAATCACCGGACAAAATATGGCACTGTATATACTCAAGCAGTGTGTTTACACCGTTATACTTCACTCTAACATATGACAGGCATTGAAGGCATACAAGCACGGCAACTTGGTAAGCTAACATGAGGTGGGCATCCCTAAAGAAAACAAAGCAAGCTTTGCAAGGCTTTCGCTCTACATTGCGCATCAACATTATGACGTCATATCGCTCATTGTGACGCAAAAGATATGACGTCACAGTCGTACATAGAAAAGCGCCAAAATTCCAAGCTCTCTGTGGTCTCCAAAACATAAATACATTCCCTTTGAAGATTTCTATCGTGTTTTCTGCGCGAAATGTATTGCCATGTAAATGTATGTGTCTCAGTACCTTATGTGATCAATATTATCAAAGGTCTCTGACATAATTATATTGACGTGGGCACAATGACACAAGTACCAACGAAATACAGTGAGGTGTGAAGCACACATGATTTAATTTATATACGTTGACTACCCAGTTGTTGATCACTTTTCTGATAATTTAGGTACTTGCACCTGTACTGAAAAGATGCATCAAAAGAATAAAGAAATTGAACCCTGTCTTCATGTCTACTACAGCTTCTAAATGCCACTTACAGAAACTGAATTGAAATATAAAATGGCCACAAAATTCAAATTAAGTTGTGAGTATTAAGGCATTAGGTAATCAAACACAAGAGTGTCATCGTTGGAGTTCGAATCTCATTTGATGTGTTTTGAGAAGGACTGAGCACAATAACACATCATGTCTGAAGCTTTAAACATGATTACATGTTTTCATTGTGCGTCGGTGTATATTTTCCTGTGAGAATGAATCAGCAAACAAGACCAGTCTTACAAGCGGCCCTACATTCTCTTAAGTAATCGAAGCCACTGGCTATCGGGCTAGTATTGACTTCTATTGCCAACTCACGCTGAGGTGAGGTGAAATGGGGTTTAACGTGGCTCCATGACTATTGCACTTATATAGCGACATGTATGCGTGTGTGTGTGTCTGTGGCTGCTTGTCCTAGTCCAGACTAATACAGATTTTATAGTGTTAGCCCACTGAGCTACCATGCCACAGTTTACATGAATACCCCACTCAGACATAGTATACTAATTCCAAGCCAACCAGTCGAGCACCAGACAGGGTAACAACAAGTACCATCTTTTAACATATTTTGGTATGACACAGCCAGGCATTGAACTCCCAACCTTCCTCTCTCCGCGCGGACGCTCTACCACTAGACCATCAGTGTGCGAGCTCAGCCTATGTTACCGCTTATAGATGAAAACCAAACCTCGCTTTCACACAGGTTATAAATAGATTCAATGCTAAAGGCCCCATAGTGACGTCACAGCCCCTGTCACAGGAAGTGAAAAATCCTGGGCTCTACACCTACCTCATATAAACCTTTTATTACAAATCCTATATGTACATGTAATGTTTTCATATATTTCCCATTTCCACATATGTCAATTTACCAAAATAATACCTAAATATAACCCATCCATGCACTGTAGAGGCTGTGAGAACATGTTTATTGAAGTCACGTGACCTCAAAATATTCTCTCACAGGGTAGAAGTCATTCACAAAAATATGGGTTCCATCTATCTTAAAGGGAGGAGGGGCCAATTCCTATGTTTCCTGCAATCACTGATCACTAAGCTTACTATATCCAACTTAAAACAGGAGGAGCTACAAATGTAAACATGTTTTTAATTGGATAAAAGACAGTCCCCAGTTTCCCCCTCGAAGTGACCAAGAAGTCCCACACAGAGCGGCCAGAAACATAGATAAATCTGGCATCTTACTGATAGCATCACATTCTAGTGACAGATATGTCACTTTAGGGCAGTTTAACACCGTTTGTTTAAATTTGAGTTGACTGATATGTCATTGAGGGACTAATTTGTGTGTCAGGGGTCTAAACTGATGGTTTACAGGTTGTGGTGTTTGACATTTGGTTCTTTCTGTCTTAAGCTGTCTGGACATAGTTTGTCAGTGTTATCACACTGAACAGACATTTGCACTTAAATAAATCAGAACTTAAATCTCAAATATGTATTGGTTTGTTAGTTTTAATTAGGGAAAGTAACCCTTCACACCACCGGAAGTAGTCAAGATTTTAGTCACGTGACCTCTATCAGTAAAATGATTAGCTCAAACCTATCGTCTGCTGTAGCAGTATACTACTTTTACTGTTGTGGTGGACGATTACTTTTGGATTATACCTTGGCTATTGCATTTTTATGCTCGGTCATGGCTAAATTGTGTGTTTCAACTGTTATTTTCTTGGAACTCACTTGGAATACCAGTCTCTTACTAACTATTTATCATGATGCGACTTCCAAGTGACACCACTGGAGATTTGTCAAGTAAGGTATGAACATATTGGAATTCTGGCACCTCTATAACTAATGAATTTTCAAGTGGAAAATATCAAGAGTACATTTATACCAATAAGGCTTGTGTATGCATTAATATTATATAGAAGTTTAAACGCTAGTAGAATTTTGCATCTTGTGAATATATGTGCATTTATGCCATCCAACAAGTCAGAAAAAATAGAAACAAAAGAAAAAATAATGGCATTCCTCCTGAGAAAAATGTAAGACATCGTATCATAATGGTAGCCAATGTCGTCCTTGTCAGGTATGCATACAGTTGGGACAATTTTAAAAAAGATGATCCTCATCATGAAATGAATAAACCTTATTATCCAGGTGAAAAGCATTAATATCCAGTGAATATATTTTGTAACATGGAAAGCTAATAAAAGTACAAAAAAGTTGTTTCAGTAGAAACCTCTGTTTAAAAACTCCAGTTGACAGAGACTATAAAGTGAATATGTCATCTGCTAGCAAATTGTATTTACTGTTTGTAGGTCGCACTTGAGAACGAGGCTTGGTTTTTACGGGAAAAGATATCAATTACAAAATTGAGGCTAAGCTCGCACACTGCATGGAGGTGCTCCAACTCACTGAGCCAATGCCAAATCATTGTATACACTCTTACTATGACCAGGCTCAGGGACTTAGACAGGTTACTCACAGAATCCACAGATTGAGCAATACTGTGGTATGACATACTTATCAGGTGGTATGCTTGTTAAATGAAGAGAGTTGCCTCCCTTTAACTCCTGGCAATTCCTAGCCAGGTGGCAGTGGTGTATAAATGAAAACAAACTTGACTAGTGGCTGTGTCTGGCCGGCGTGTCTGGTGACTATGATATCCTGACTGACACTAGGATCACGAACTGGTGTTGTGTATGGGGCCACAACACAAATCTAACCAGCAGGTCAAAACACTGGTCAAAGGCTGACCTCTGCAGGTATGTCAACAAATTGCTCTGGTTCAGTGCACCCCCTTCATAATGGGACGCAAGGCCTATTTAACAACAGTGTGTACTTAGAGCTTTGATGTACTGGAATGTGCAGGGTTTAACGTTGGTCTGTGTATTTGTGTTTCAAGGCGACTTCCGAAAAAAAAGGGTAGGGAAATGAACTTATTAGGTACCGACAACAAATAAAATACATTTGACACTTTATGCTTAATGTGGTTTGCAATTGCCTTGTTTGAAACCATAGATATAACAAGATCATGATACATCTTTCTGAAGCAGTCAGTTCACAACTACCATAAATATTATGCAAAATTTGTTTAATTTATTGAAATTCTGCTATGAATTCTTTTTTTTTAATCTTTAGAAAGCCATTTTGGTCCATCTTCAGAGTTCTTTAACCCCAGTGTTATTTGTAAACGACTTCTCAACACAGGGACGCGTGTGAGGTACCCATTATCGCAATGACAACCCCTGAACCAACACTTCAACACAGTTTGACCGCAGCAAACAATATATTCCTACAATCTTTTGAAGGAACTGTTTTCATTTTAATAAGCGTCCTGGATACTTAGAAAATTAGAATAGGTGAGTGGGTTGGGGAAATCCAGGATTAGATCTTGTCATTCATGCCTTGCGGGTGGATAGTTTTGAGATCAAATATCCATTTAAGTTCAATGGACCGGCGCCTGGCCGTGCTCTGGGCTGACTCAGGGTCTGTTTTGAGCTGTTGTATGATTTGGTAGTGTAGGTCTCTGGTTGAGTGTCCTACCGAATTGAAAAGTTTGGCGACAGGTTTGTCCCGTTGGTGGTTTATATCTGCAAAGTGTTCTTTGAGTCTAATACAGAAGTGTCGTTTGGTTTCACCTACATATTGTTTGCCATATTTGGTGCAGTTGAGCAGATAGATTACGTTTCTGCTTTTGCAAGTGAAATGCGAATGGCATTTGTATTTTTTGCCTGTTGTGTGGCTTTTGAAGGTGTTAACCGATTTCATGTAGGTGCAGGTTTTGCAGGCCTGTTTGTGACAGCTGTCATCTAGATTGGGCATCGTGCGGCCACTGATTTGTGGTTTGAGTGGAGGATAAGTGATAGCCGCTTTCATGAGGATGTCTCTAAGTGTGCGGTTTTTCCTGTATGCTGTGATGTGTGGGACTCGGAAAGTGTCTGTGCAGGTGTCTGATCCTAGGAGTAGGTGCCAGGATTTTTTGATCATGGAGCTCACCTTGAGTGCAGTGGGGTTGTAATCTGTAATAAAGATCACTGGTTTAGTGTCTTTGGGAGGTGTCTGTTTGGGTGTTAAGAGGGATTTTCTCTCTTTGGCGTTCGCTTTTGTTTCATTGTCCAAGAGAATTTTCTTTGGGTAGCCTCTGTTGAGGTAATACTTTACTAGATTGTTGCTGTGGAACTCATATTGTGATTGCGAGCTGCATATCTTTTTGAGTCGGAGGAATTGACTGTATGGTCCTTTGACTTTGATGTGTCGTGGGTGACAGGAGGTGTATAGCAGATAGGAGTGCGTATCTGTAGGTTTGCAGTATAGGTCAAAATCCAATTGATTTGTTTTTTGGTTTAATATGACCCATGTGTCTAGAAAAGCTACTTTTTCTCTAGAGAATTCGGCAGTGAATTTGATAGTGGGATGTGAATCGTTCATTTCTTTGATGAAGGATTCTAACCTAGTGTAGCCTAGAGTCCAGATGAGGAAGATGTCGTCTATGAATCTGACGTAGAGGTGGGGGCTATCGGTGGTTTTCTTGAGAAGTTTACCTTCTAGTTCTCCCATGAAAATGTTTGCATATGATGGGGCTAATTTGGTGCCCATAGCTGTGCCTCCTATTTGTACAAAATGTTCATTGTTGAAAACAAAATTGTTTTTGTATAGAACAAGTCTAAGTAAAGAGAGTAAGCTGGTGGGGCTAATGGGCCAGTCAGGTTTATGGCGTCTAATGGCCTGAGCTACTGCACGGAAGCCTTCCGTGTTGGGTATGTTGGTGTAGAGGGATGTGACGTCCATGGTGACCAGGATGATGTCACTTTAGGGTGGTAGGTGGGTGGAACCTACGGTTTGGATAAAATGGGTGGTGTCCCTGATGTAACTGGGATAGTTTTTGACGAACTCTTTTATGTGTTCGTCAACGAAGCTGCTAATCAGTTCTGTGGTGGTGCCGTTTCCGCTTATAATTGGGCGGCCCGGTACTTTGGCAGGTGTTAGGTTTTTATGTATTTTGGGCAGTAGGTAGAACCGACCTGGTTTGGGGTCTTTGGGTAACAGTCCATTGAATATTTTGTAAGTGATCTCTTCTTTAGTGAAGATTTTGGTGAGAAGTTGTGTTATCTCATTGGCGAAATCCATGGTTGGGTCATGGTCTGTTTTAAGATAAAAGGGGGGCACCTATTAAAACAATACAGAACAAGTTAGGTATGATGGAGAGAGTTTCAGTATTTGTACGGTTTGTAATCTATATTTCTTACAGGCTGGTCAAGAAGTTGCCAAGGGACACTTTTTGGAGAATGGCACTTAAAACAGTGAATACTGCAACCTTTTCTCCCTCAAAGAAAGTAGAACACGTTTTCTGTTTCTCAAAAAATATAATTCAAAAGTAAATTTACCTTTCATCAAACAAATGATAGCTTCAATTAGATAGACATTTGTAGTATATATATATAAGTATATATCAAACCCTAGTGTGCATAAGAACAGTGGTGAGGATGTACTAGACTAACATCTAGTCTCTGAGATGAACATATCGTGAGGAAGAAAACAGTTGTTCAGTTATCTTAATAAAAATATAATAAAAAGGAGCCCAGTGACTCTCTTCATTTTCAGATACTGCAGTGATCTAGACTTGCCAAACATTATAGACTTGCATGGGCTGTATTTGAAATATATTTGCATCAGGGTCTGTAAGACAGACTAAGGAAGTACAAGTACATCACAAACGGACACCTCACAAACTGGTTGTGGATACCGATCATGTTGCAATACACTGGCCTGACGCATGCTATCACTACAAACATGACAAATAAAATATTCATGTTGCCAAGCAGGACTGGAATGATAAAGTAGGTGGGGATTTGGGAAGTAAATCCGTTTCGTCCTCGAGTTTTCTGTTTGTCCCCTACTGTATGCAGTCAACCTGATACCCATGACCCAGTATATGTAGGACAGCCCACGGCAGCAGCAATGCTGTACAAAGTACTACACACATACCAGCAATCCATTCAAGGAAGACAACAGTAAGGCTGTATTGATTCACTCTTCAAGTATCGTGTCTTGCAACACTAAGACAGCTAAAAACAGGTGTTTATGACATTGTAATCTTGTTTTAATGTACCGGCATTTATGTTGTGTATAATCTTATTTGAATTATACCTCTAATGTTGCTGCTGGCAACCTGAGGGTAAATACAGATCAGTGTCATGAAATAATACATTGATGAATACATTGATAAAGGATCACATAGGATCAACTATTATAAATGTGAGATTTAATAATAATTTTCTCGGATTTTATACAATATTCCTCAAGCCATTGTTAGTTGATGACTCAAGGTTCCCCCTCTGAGTGTCAAGTTTCCTGTGTCTTATCATTCTACTGTCATAGCGACTGATTTACAACACCCATTGTCTGAAGAACATTAAATTGCAAAGGCTCATTACCCTGGAGCCATGACATCTATATGCCTTGAAACACTTAACTGCTGTTATTTATAAGATGCTAATCCTAATTGTTAATCCCCATTTTTGTGTACATCGACTGTCTGCCATCCTGAACGAGATGTGCAAGTATGTCACTGATGAATTAATGTTTACATTTATATTTATTACTTACTAAATGTCAGGTGACCTTGGCTATATAAACCTTGGTCCAGAGAGATTGAAAAAAGAAAAAGAAAAGAAAGGTCTTACCCTTAGCCTTACTAGGGTTAGGCTGGGTGCTCCGGGGCACCTAGACAACAACCACAACCACTATGTGCTGACCTGGCAAATAGTGTCTTTTATATCTACATGTATAAAGTAAAACTGTATATACCGCAAGCCATCATCTCCAAGTTGTCACTTCCTACAGGAACCATATGCCGACCCCTTGCATATACGAGTATGCAAATTATTCATTAATCAACGTCAGACCACACGCGTTGTTACTACTGCGACCTTACTATGGAGATATATAGGGCTGGGACAAGTCCAACTTTACTACCCAGACACCCACCACCCTATTACCCGACCCTACCCAGGTACCCGCTATAGATATCAAGAGATAGGTACAAACTGTCCGACTTGGAAAAGTTTGACCTTAGCCCTGACAAAATGTATTTAGATACACGTGTAACACGATCTGGTCATGCATACACTGAAGTTTGCTGCATGACGTTTTATCTTTATTCAGACTTATAAAAGCCAGAAGGAATGGGAACATTAGTGACTTATGGTGTAACCATAGAGTTTTAGATAATTTGTGTCATTATACAATATATCACGTGACTAACCACGGGTCAGGGTAGTCTTGTCGGTACCCCGGTCCTACTCATGACCCACCCGACCAGAGTACCCGAGTTACCCCTCCCAGCCTTAGAGATATATATCTATTATACCAAGCACCAGCCTCGGTGCACACCCCTCTGCTTACAATGTGTAATGAGTTACGCTACAGTAACTATCTGGTTATTTTGTTCCACATTAGCTGGTTAAAGATGTCTTTAATTAAAGCTATGGGTTGGTATTGGATTTATACCTTTTATTCAATTACACACTTCAAATATTATTTTGGCTTATGTGGGCAAATGGGTGGATCAGATAGAATTTTAAAAAATGAATATTCATCAATTTGTGATGTATTTTTATTCATATTTAAATTATCAGGATGAGTAGAAATCATGGAAATTATAATAATACTTTGAATTAAAAGATTTCCACTTATTTCCCTAATCAGCGTTGTTTAGTAAAATAAACGAATTCACAGACTTTGATGAAACCTTATCAAGTGGTTAGATCACAAGTATACTGATTTTACTTTATATTTACTATCTTCCCTCCTGACATTCCCTCCAACGTACAACCCTCACCAAGCAACCAACCCCCACCCCCCTACACACACACCTCTCTTCTGTGGTAGGTGACCAATCCCTTATCTCTGCCCTGTTTTGACATCTCACACACACACAAAGACATTTGACCAGGATGTATGGATAGCATAAACACTTCACGATTTCCTCACTGCCAGCATTTAAGAAGCGAAGTCACCAATGTCTCACAGTACGGACATACAGTAAGCTACATTCGTCACATCACATTACCGATGTACAGACTGATTCTACTGGACGTGTGAGTATTAAGGTAGAGTTTACCTAGGTAGTATTAGATACAGTTACAGTGGGATAACAGTTTATCACATCCTATTCAAGTACAGACTGATTCTACTGGACGTGTGAGTATAAGGTAGAGTTTACCTAGGTAGTATTAGATACACAGTTACAGTGGGATAACAGTTTATCACATCCTATTCAAGTACAGACTGATTCTACTGGACTGTGTGTAAGGTAGTGTTTACCTAGGTAGTATTAGATACACAGTTACAGTGGGATAACAGTTTATCACATCCCATTCAAGTACAGACTGATTCTACTGGACATGTGAGTAAGGTAGAGTTTACCTAGGTAGTATTCGATACACAGTTACAGTGGGATAACAGTTTATCACATCCTATTCAAGTACAGACTGATTCTACTGGACGTGTGAATAATTTAGAGTTTACCTAGCTAGTATTAGATACACAGTTACAGTGGGATAACAGTTTATCACATCCTATTCAAGTACAGACTGATTCTACTGGACGTGTGAGTATAAGGTAGAGTTTACCTAGCTAGTATTAGATACACAGTTACAGTGGGATAACAGTTTATCACATCCCATTCAAGTACAGACTGATTCTACTGGACATGTGAGTAAGGTAGAGTTTACCTAGGTAGTATTAGATACACAGTTACAGTGGGATAACAGTTTATCACATCCCATTCAAGTACAGACTGATTCTACTGGACATGTGAGTAAGGTAGTGTTTACCTAGGTAGTATTAGATACACAGTTACAGTGGGATAACAGTTTATCACATCCCATTCAAGTACAGACTGATTCTACTGGACATGTGAGTAAGGTAGAGTTTACCTAGGTAGTATTAGATACACAGTTACAGTGGGATAACAGTTTATCACATCCCATTCAAGTACAGACTGATTCTACTGGACATGTGAGTAAGGTAGAGTTTACCTAGGTAGTATTAGATACACAGTTACAGTGGGATAACAGTTTATCGCATCCCATTCAAGTACAGACTGATTCTACTGGACATGTGAGTAAGGTAGAGTTTACCTAGGTAGTATTAGATACACAGTTACAGTGGGATAACAGTTTAACACATCCTATTCAAGTACAGGCTGATTCTACTGGATGTGTGTGTAAGGTAGTGTTTACCTAGGTAGTATTAGATACACATTTACAGTGAGTCAACAGTTTATCACATCCCATTCTGCTTAGCGATCGTGTTGGGAGTAGGGGCTTAATTCCTTTGTTTTCGAGAGATTAGTTTAATAAACTGGAGAAGCCTGTGAGTAAGTGATGGTCATTCAATGTGTTCATAGTATGATAGTTTATTTAATTCAATTGGATTAACATACAATAGTGGTGTAAAGGGGGTTATAAAAGTTGGTATATTTTTACAGACTGACATTTTCATCATGGGTTTTAAACAAAAACGCCATGCTTACGATGCTGAATTCAAACTGCGAGTCTTCGCGCCAGCTGATATATTTTCTCAAGGGTTCATAATTCTATATACACCGATTCACAACATGGCGCTTGGTTGTTGATGGCAACATATAACGATCATTATGAGATTAAAAAAAACCACGAGAAACAGCTTCCCACATTATGAAAGTGGATGACTGGTTTGTTAAATCTTTTTTAGAAATAATAATGACTTTTTCAATATAATTACAACGTTTTTCATCTTATATTTTTGAATATTTGCGAGTACCGGCACATGTCTTGCAGTCCGACTTCGCAATGTTTTTTGTCTTTCAATTCCTGATTCGGCTTATCTGCGGGTCATATCATTTTCTTTCGTATTTCAATGGTCAAATTAACACCTCAGCTTATCTACGGGGTCGGCTTATCCGCGGTCATATACGGTAGTGTTTACCTAGGTAGTATTAGATACACAGTTACAGTGGGATAACAGTTTATCACATCCCATTCAAGTACAGACTGATTCTACTGGACATGTGAGTAAGGTAGAGTTTACCTAGGTAGTATTAGATACACAGTTACAGTGGGATAACAGTTTATCACATCCCATTCAAGTACAGACTGATTCTACTGGACATGTGAGTAAGGTAGAGTTTACCTAGGTAGTATTAGATACACAGTTACAGTGGGATAACAGTTTAACACATCCTATTCAAGTACAGGCTGATTCTACTGGATGTGTGTGTAAGGTAGTGTTTACCTAGGTAGTATTAGATACACATTTACAGTGAGTCAACAGTTTATCACATCCCATTCTGCAACACTCATCAGTTATTGTTTGGTTCTTTATTTGTATTGTGCTAGTTTTACCTGATGAGAGTGCTACCATTTGCATGCTCTGTGGCACATGAGTTATTGATTTAACCAGAAAATGCACCTAGTTAGGACTATCCCTCCCTGTATTATTGATTCATGATTTCAACTCTTAAAACTACTGAAAGCAAGTTTTCTCCTCATTATCTAGACTAGCATTTAGTCTCTGAAATCTTATATTACACAATATCCTTCTTGAAAAAAATTTCCCTATGCTGATTTCAGAGACTTAACATTTTCAGAGCCTTCCTATCAGGGCAATCTTGAAATGTAAATTGGACATATGTAAGTGTCCAAATAAATTTTCTAAAGCACATTCTCGGACCACCTTATCAACCAATCTGTCCACAGCACCACATGATCGGTTGGATTCCATCCCTGTATTTATTACTCCCCTGGACAGCAATCTTGGTTGTGGAATAGAGCTAGCTTGAGCTGGCTAGACTTGATTTTGTATGCGTTTCTAGATTTATTTTTTTTCAAAAAATAAATATATTCCACGGTCATGGTGCAGGACTACTCATTATCCTGAAACACGGTTTGAAACTAGCATTCCGAGAACCAAACTGAAATTAAGTCGTAATGCTACTAACTGCTTCATATGAGTAGCCAAAAATACACATGAGTCTAGGGGATAACAAAGAACATGCATAGTTAATGGCCTCACGACACGGTTCAGTAGTTGATATGATTCAACAACTATGAATGCAGTGTTTGTACTTTGCTCTGCTTATCTGCTGAATGAAAATATAATGATGGCAAAATATAATGGAACATCTAGCAAAAAAGCAGAGTAATATTTACTGTTGTGCTCCATATAAATGTTTGATGTAAATAATGTTCAGGTATAGGTGATTGAGCGAGTTGGGTTTAGCACCACTTTAACAGTATTCAAGTTATATCACAGCATGTCAGCTTTATATGGGAGGAAAGCCTGAAGAGATGCAGTCTCAGACGTTTAGGAGTATGGTGAAGCCCCCGAGCACGGGTACGGTTCTGACAAATCTAGAAACATAATCAGGCGAACTGGGATTTTGAAACCAATGATCATGGGTTTCTGGCATTCCCAAGGGATGCAACTCTGCATAGCGAATTTGGGGAGCCTTAGACGACTGGGCCACCTGTGCCCAGTGCGGTTGAAGTGTTGTTCATCACAAAATTCAAACAGTCTTAATCTCATTAAAATCAGATCTTGGTTCTCTCAACAACTAATCAGATCTGAGGACATGCCATTACGGGTCATGTCTGACCGACCAATGGAGTGACTGACAAGAAGTCGACATTAGCCAATCAGAAGGCAGCTTGCTCAAGCGTTACCTCACAAGTTTCAAACTGGTGACTATGCTTCGAAACATATTTTCACAAATTCTCCAAAACATATTTGAAAACTAAACAAAAGAACATTCTGGAATGGCTAATAGTAATAGATGACCTAAGTTGTATGGCAGTACTTCCCACCAGCAATAAAGTCTCTTTTGTTCAAATGTTCATCCCATTGAAGCAAGAGATAGCTGATAATTTTGACAGATTCTGTGGCAAAGCCCGTAACTGTTGTTCAGAACACCCTGTGTTAAGCATTCACATTCACACATTCAAACTGTTTGATTGGTGAGGCTAAAATGTATTACAAAGCTTCTTTTTTTTCCGAAATTTTTTTCTGACCCAAGCTGATTTTTTTAGAAGATGTAGATAAAATAGTACAAATACAGTAATGTAGTTGGTTAAACAATTCACCTTGCGTGAAGGCTAGTTGCCTGATAATTTTCAACTAATATTTTAAAGTTTTCTACAACTTAAACATTTGACAATTCCAGTGGGCAAAAAAGGACCTTTCTCCTCCTTTGTGACCAAATTTCAGTCTTGTTTTGTTGGTAGTTGTATGGCTATAATTTATGTCAGAAAATATGGGAGATTCTGAAATGGTCCAGGCACGCCTGAGTTAGTGTTACTAACGTACATACTATTTCCCAAAAGACATGTTTAACGTCTCAACTCATGTGAAGTCAACTGTCTGGAAATAAAGAAGCTGAAATTAAATTGCAAGATTCTTGATAATCGTCAAAGCAATCAAGATTATATATTGCATCCTATTCAATGTTTGATAAACTTTACTATTTCCAGATAAGCTGTGAAACAACATGGGTGACATTGACTGCGGTGACTGCGGTGGCTGCGACTGTGACTGTACTGATGGTGACTGCGGCTGCAACGACTGCAAATGTGACTGCAACCATTGCGACCCATGTGACCAGTTTGCATGTGGTCTCTGTTGTGGTGGCTGTGTGAATGACACCACAGACACATCAATGGCCGCAGTTTACTTGGGCACCAACACTAACACATCCTCCAACTCATCGTCTCAGACGCGGAACCTACATAACGACAACAAGAAGGAACAAAGAAACAAGTACCTGGCCCCGAATGGTGAACTGAATGGGCTGAACAATAGCCAGGTTGAAGGCGAGGTCGTGATGAACCAACCAGGAACAGACCCCAATGTTGTCATGTCACAACCACGAGGAGATCCACAAGGGGAACCACGAGGAGATCCACCTCCCTATGAGAGTTGTGTGGACACCAAAAACTGATCCTACTACATGTATCTCACTGACTCATTCTTACCGGTGCAAACAAGGCTGTGAAGAAACAATGAACAGCCAAACAATAAACGCTGTGTGAAGACATGAAGTGTTTTTTACGATGCCTCAGGACCTGGACTTACGACATGAAGTTGTATAGAACTACAACCACTTTCAAAGTTTCATTTAGGACTTCCTCAGAATCCTGTGATAAGGGTTATTAAAAACTGAAATGTCGTATGTCAATACATTATGTCTGTTGATGCCCTTGTGTTGCGAAAATTGAGCACATTTATATTAATATCATTATTTTACCATAGACTTTCAATGAATGTTTTTTGCATTTTGTCAACAACTGTTCTCGTAGAAACTGTAACGACCTGATTCTCATTTGCCAGGTGACACAACACCTGATCCTCAGCATCATTGTCAGCTCGTTCTAGATCTGGGCTCCTGATAAGTTTTAGAGCCATCCTTCACATTGGGTATTGATAGTTTTCTTTGTGGACATATCATAATTCCCTTGGGTCCAGTCTAAAGGGTATTATTACACCAGTGAGTTGATATTTTTTTATATCATTCTGCTTAAATACCATTTCAGGTGGCTTCTAATATATATCTGTTCATGTGCTTAAACAAATGTGTAACATGCCTCAAAAACTGACAACAGCGATATATATGTCTGATTAACAATAAGCGAGATGTAGTGCCCTACTTATGCAATATTCACAAAAGCAGATTGGAGTCGTGTATGTGTGATGCCTGAATGTTATCTAAGAAATATCAACATTTTGTGCTCCCTGATTGAATACAATCCAACCTCAGCAGTGTTGGACTCCTTTTTATGTAAAGGGGGGTTAAGTTTTGTATCCTTACAATTTTGACGTCAATTATATGCACCTTCTCTCCCTAGATCGATTGTCATATCTCTCCCACGTTTGGGTGTGATCATTTGGCCATTGCACTTAAATGTGCTGTCCAGCTACATCTATTGGGAAAAATTCACTGGACACTCCCCTCTCAAAAATAACGTCGTCCAATTTACATCCTCATCAAGTTCTGAGCGCATGTTCGAATCTCCAGAAACAATGGTAGAACAATGTTTTGGCGTGAAATAAACCACGCTTCATTCTTCATTGTTCTTTGCAATATATCTCGTAGCTATCTTATATCAGAAATTAATGATCTGTAAAGAAATATAGGTACACAAGTTGAAAATGATACATTGGGTAATTTCACAGAGTGTTGTTATACTATTGGGTTTTGTAAATGTTTCACTCATATCAAAAAGCAACGAACTCCAAATTAATCCAGTAATGGAAATTTATTGTGCATATTTTATATAAATACTTAAAAATAGTTATATGGAGCTCTGCAATTCATATGGGGTACTTGGCGCCATTTCTGACCCAGAATCTCTGCAGGGGTTCTATCCTACAGATACAGCCCTGCACTCACTCACCCTCAACCCCACCAACCCTCTTTAAAAGTCATTTCAAATACATGTACATAAATATTTGTGCCTTCAATAACTGACACCAATTAACATTATTAGTAAACTTAGTTCATTAAGTAATCTTGTTGAATTGATGCTATTATACCATCCCAATTATAAGACCCTGTGTCAATGCCTGCCTCACATGCTTGCTATACAGCAGGACCCAGTCACAGAGTGCGGTCTTACTGTATGAGTGAGTGACTGAGTTGGTTTAAAGCCGTTTTGAACAGTATTGTCATGTCATATCATGGCGTGTCAGCTTGGTGAAGCAGGGAACCTCGAAGCTTTGCAAGCTTTAGGCATTTACCACTTTAGTTAAACCAACGAACAAGGGCATGGTGCAAGAAACAGTCAGGCGAATCGGGGACTTGAACAAACTACCACAGGTTTATGCCTCATGTAAGAGATGTTACTCTGCACAGCGAATTGCATCACCTCAGATGACAGTGCCACCTGTGTCTCCTTTACTGAATGAAAGTATTAAAGAACATCATTCATGTCATTTCAAATGAAATAAAGCAAGAGTCTCAAAGTTTTCCTTCTTCTTGATCTGAGAATGTCTGTCAGTGATTATTATTTCACGTAGCAGTCAGGAACATTCTCGCTGTATAACTGCATTCTGTATGCAAACAAAGGTCATGGCCAGGCAAGCCAGACGGCCGGAGCATGAGAAACAATACATTCAATCAAGGTACAATGGCAGACTATCAGCCAGGTCACTCATTGAACCACACCATCCTCATTTGTTCAGCTTTTATGACAAACATGGCGTGCCTGAGACATATTCTGCCTTAGGATTCCCACAAGTAGACAAGCATGGGGTACTGGGGACCTATTCTGCCTTAGAAGTCCCACAAGTAGACAAGCATGGGGTACTGGGGACCTATTCTGCCTTAGAAGTCCCACAAGTAGACAAGCATGGGGTACTGGGGACCTATTCTGCCTTAGAAGTCCCACAAGTAGACAAGCATGGGGTACTGGGGACCTATTCTGCCTTAGAAGTCCCTCAAGTAGACAAGCATGGGGTACTGGGGACCTATTCTGCCTGAGAAGTCCCACAAGTAGACAAGCATGGGGTACTGGGGACCTATTCTGCCTTAGAAGTCCCTCAAGTAGACAAGCATGGGGTACTGGGGACCTAATCTGCCTTGGAAGTCCCTCAAGTAGACAAGCATGGGGTACTGGGGACCTATTCTGCCTTAGAAGTCCCACAAGTAGACAAGCATGGGGTACTGGGGACCTATTCTGCCTTAGAAGTCCCTCAAGTAGACAAGCATGGGGTACTGGGGACCTATTCTGCCTTAGAAGTCCCACAAGTAGACAAGCATGGGGTACTGGGGACCTATTCTGCCTTAGAAGTCCCACAAGTAGACAAGCATGGGGTACTGGGGACCTATTCTGCCTTAGAAGTCCCTCAAGTAGACAAGCATGGGGTACTGGGGACCTATTCTGCCTTAGAAGTCCCACAAGTAGACAAGCATGGGGTACTGGGGACCTATTCTGCCTTAGAAGTCCCACAAGTAGACAAGCATGGGGTACTTGGGACCTATTCTGCCTTAGGATTCCCAATAGTAGACCTATTCTGCCTTAGGATTCCCACAGGGAGACAAGATTAGGGAACTGAAGACCTATTCTGCCTTAGGATTCCAGCAAGTAGACAAGCATGGGTTACTTGGGACCTATTCCGCCTTAGGATTCCCACAAGTAGACAAACATGGGTTACTGGGGACCTATTCTGCCTTAGGATTCCAGCAAGTAGACAAGCATGGGTTACTGGGGTCTTATTCTGCCTTAGGATTCCCACAAGTAGACAAACATGGGGACTGGGGTCTTATTCTGCCTTAGGATTCCCACAGGGAGACAAGATTAGGGTACTGAAGACCTATTCTGCCTTAGGATTCCAGCAAGTAGACAAGCATGGGTTACTGGGGACCTATTCTGCCTTAGGATTCCCACAAGTAGACAAGCATGGGTTACTGGGGTCTTATTCTGCCTTAGGATTCCAGCAAGTAGACAAGCATGGGGTGCTGGGGAACAATTCTGGCCTGCAGTTTACACAGGGGTTTGACTGTCTGTCTATCTGGTACAATGTCAAGGTTGAGGCAACAAAAGAGCCATTTCTGACTGAATGATTGCATGAGCAGCATTGCATCAGGTGTTCCTGTCAAAGGTGGATGAGTGAACTGATTGGTCGCCAACAGGTTACACACAGATGACAAGCATGAAATTCATGAGTGAACTTATTAGTTGCCAACAGGTAACACACAGATGACAGGCATGAAATTCATGAGTGAACTGATTGGTCGCCAACAGGTTACACACAGATGACAAGCATGAAATTCATGAGTGAACTGATTGGTCGCCAACAGGTTACACACAGATGACAAGCATGAAATTCATGAGTGAACTGATTGGTCGCCAACAGGTTACACACAGATGACCAGCATGAAATTCATGAGTGAACTTATTGGTTGCCAACAGGTTACACACAGATGACAGGCATGAAATTCATGAGTGAACTGATTGGTCGCCAACAGGTTACACACAGATGACAAGCATGAAATTCATGAGTGAACTGATTGGTCGCCAACAGGTTACACACAGATGACAAGCATGAAATTCATGAGTGAACTGATTGGTCGCCAACAGGTTACACACAGATGACCAGCATGAAATTCATGAGTGAACTGATTGGTCGCCAACAGGTTACACATAGATGACCAGCATGAAATTCATGAGTGAACTGATTGGTCGCCAACAGGTTACACACAGATGACCAGCATGAAATTCATGAGTGAACTGATTGGTCACCAACAGGTTACACACAGATGACAAGCATGAAATTAATGAGTGAACTTATTGGTCGCCAACAGGTTACAGACAGATGACCAGCATGAAATTCATGAGTGAACTTATTGGTTGCCAACAGGTTACACACAGATGACCAGCATGAAATTTATGAGTGAACTGATTGGTCGCCAACAGGTTACACACAGATGACCAGCATGAAATTCATGAGTGAACTGATTGGTCGCCAACAGGTTACACATAGATGACCAGCATGAAATTCATGAGTGAACTGATTGGTCGCCAACAGGTTACACACAGATGACAAGCATGAAATTCATGAGTGAACTGATTGGTCACCAACAGGTTACACACAGATGACCAGCATGAAATTCATGAGTGAACTGATTGGTCGCCAACAGGTTACACACAGATGACAAGCATGAAATTCATGAGTGAACTGATTGGTCGCCAACAGGTTACACACAGATGACAAGCATGAAATTAATGAGTGAACTTATTGGTCGCCAACAGGTTACAGACAGATGACCAGCATGAAATTCATGAGTGAACTTATTGGTTGCCAACAGGTTACACACAGATGACCAGCATGAAATTCATGAGTGAACTGATTGGTCGCCAACAGGTTACACACAGATGACAAGCATGAAATTCATGAGTGAACTGATTGGTTGCCAACAGGTTACACACAGATGACCAGCATGAAATTTATGAGTGAACTGATTGGTCGCCAACAGGTTACACACAGATGACAAGCATGAAATTTATGAGTGAACTTATTGGTTGCCAACAGGTTACACACAGATGACCAGCATGAAATTCATGAGTGATCTGATAACATGACTGATATCATATAATTACCACTCACACATGGAAAAACTATCATTCGTATGAACCAATTCAAACTTGATTGGCTGAAATTATGCCCAAACCTTGCTCATAAAAACATTTCTGTTAACACCGAAATGTACTTACCAAGCCAATTGAAGCTGCTTGGTTTGGCACGCAGACCATTCTTGGCGATGCTCGGTACGATGCCAGCTGGCTCCCTGAAGTAGAGGAAGGCATACTGTTCTGTCAGTTCCCGTGCATGGCGCCCGGACTCCTTCAGCTCTGCACGCTTTTCTCTGGAGACAACAAACAGTTGATACTTTACTCTACTTGACACACCAATCAAACAGTTGACTTTGCTTGTCACTGTCATTACTTTACATGTGACTTAACATAAATATTGTCCTTTAGATGAGTAAGCATTCCAAGTCATCTTTTGTTGTTCATTATTTAAACATAAGTATCACCTAAAAAAAGCTAAGATTATTCTTAGAATTTCGCTTTCATTTTTGGGGGACACTGTTACATGATAAATAATATGTTGCACTTAAAATTATTAAGAGACTAGAATGTTGTTTTACTTAAAAACATGTGTCTGCCCCCTCCTTTTTTGATACATTAGTACAAGTTGTTAGCGTAAATGTGTTTGCAAATCTGAAAAAGAGTAATTGCAAATTATAGCCTGGAAAGGTAATGGCTTCATGCCGAAATATTCATCAGCTGTAGAGTTTTAGCGAAAACAAACACTACTTGTTTGAGACAAAATCCAAATTATTTCCATGGAAACACAAGAAATTAAAAGAAATATAAATTCAACAAGAAAACGGTGTAATCACTATCCACTGCCATGGGGGACATTAGAATTTGTTTGTTCATATAGCAGTGATTATAAACTATAAACTATAAAAAAGGTCCAATAAAGCCTAAAAAAGGGATAGCAACTTGGGCCGCTTTATGTCATCAGACAATTTGATTAAATATGAAATTAATACACACAAAAGGCCCCTTCTCTTGAAAAAATAACTCAATCTTGATAAGTATCGCTTAGATAAGTTAACTTCAGTAGTTTGTGAAAAAACTTGTCCCCATTGCACACTCTATGCACTTAGTAAAATAGCATGGATCAAGGGCCATAACTCTGTAAACAAATATTTATGGGACCAATTTTTGAACTCTGTCTTGACAATTATCTCTTAGATAAGCATGCAAACTTTCATTTGAATAACTTTAGCAGTTTCTGAGAAAACCTGTCCCCATTTCAATGCAGTATTCACTTAGTTGAAAAGACTGGAGCAAGGACCAATGTTCGAACTCAGTCTTGACAAATATTTAAGATAGCTTGCAAAGTTTCATTCATGCAACATCAGTAGGTTTTTTTGGGGGGGGGATAAAAATATGAAAAGGCAATAGTTGAGCATGTGGTCATTGCACATATATGGTTTTATGCCAAAATATTCATTAGTTTGAGAATTATGGCTTGGATATGAAGCCAAGAGTTGTTTGACACTAAGTCCAAATTGTTACCATGGAAACGTATATATAAACAAAATAAAATTTAGAAAAATTAGAAAATAGCAAAAGGCACCAGTTATGCTGGTGATCAATGCATATACCACGTTTTGTTTTGTTTTGAATGTTTTTCAAGTTATTGCTTGGAATAGGATGGGAACGTCAACGCCAATGCCAATGTCAAGGTCAGTGCCAACACCACCTGGCCAACGCCAAAAAGCCAAACACAATATGTCTCCCCTCCCTTTGGGCAGTGAGACATAACTATTGACATAAATTGCATGTGGGAGTTTAAAGAAATATAAAATAAAGAAAAGTAGGTTCAAAGCTGCAGGCGAAGCAAATATTTTTGCCTATACTTCCATAGAGGGGTGGGACATACCTGTATTCCTTCTCTAAATCACGATTATCAAAGGTCTGTATGGCCTTGACCTCCCATTGACCTCGAACCTCCTGGTCAAGGTAACACCTGTCGATGGCCTGCAGCAACTCTGTTGCATCACGACTAGTGAGGGTGACATTCCTCAAGTTGTCTGCAACAAACAAAGCATACCTTTAAATATAATCAATAAAGTAATCAGTGGTAACATGCCCTCTTGTCAATCAGTGATCCGTCATTGCAAGTATTGCAACTAGCATGATTTACTAATTGTATAGAGATATCTCACTTTCTGGTCAATCAGTCCACCAAAAAAGGGTAATTTACTATCTGGTCAATCATTATACAGAAATAGGGAGACTGGCTTTCTGGTCAATCATTATAGTCAAATAGGGAGACTCACTTTCTGGTCAGTCATTATAGACAAATACGGAGACTCATTTTCTGGTCAATCATTTTACTGAAATAGGGCAACTCACTTTCAGGTGAATCATTATAGTCAAATAGGGAGACTCACTTTCTGGTCAATCAGTCCACCAAAAAAGGGTAATTTACTATCTGGTCAATCATTATACAGAAATAGGGAGATTCACATTCTGGTCAATCATTATAGTGAAATAGGGCAACTCACTTTCTGGTCAGTCATTATACTGAAATAGGGAGACTCACTTTTGGGTCAATAATTTTACTGAAACAGGGCAACTCACTTTCTGGTCAATCATTATGCTGAAATAAGGTGACTTACTATCTGGTCAATCATTTTAATGAAATAGGGAGACTCTCTATCTGGTCAATCATCATACTGAAATAGGGCAACTCACTTTCTGGTCAATCATTATGCTGAAATAAGGTGACTTACTATCTGGTCAATCATTTTAGTGAAATAGGGAGACTATCTGGTCAATCATCATACTGAAATAGGGCAACTCACTTTCTGGTCAATCACACTGAAATAGGGAGACCTATGATCTGGTCAATCATTATATTGAAATATTGTGACTTACTATCTTGTCAATCAGTAGACTGAAATAGGATGACTCTATCTGGTCAATCATTAGGCTAAAATAGGATGAGTCTACCTGGTCAATCATTATACTGAAATAGGATGACTCTACTTGGTCAATCATTATGCTGAAATAGGATGACTCTACTTGGTCAATCATTATGCTGAATAGGATGGCTCTGCCTGGTCAATCATAACTAACCAATAACCAATTACATCATAACTGGGTATCAAAATAACTAATAAATAATGGCAGATAAGAATATCTTGTAACGTGAAATCGTAGCTGTGGCTGTTTGTACGTACCTTTAGACAACTGTCTCTTGATCTTGGGGATATTAAAGTTGAGCTGTGCCTGTTCAGACATCGCTGCGCAGGCTATAACAATAATAACAATAACAATAATAACTGTATTAATGAGGATTCAACTGAGGAGTGTGCGTATATCCTACAGCTCCACATTTATAAACACCTAACAGACAACCCGATACCCCAGTATAGACATTTTCGGCAGCTCATTTGTTTTAGTAGAAGTAAACATGGAACCATTGATGGGATACAGTAACCATCAGCCACGCCATGAAGTCACAATAAGGACTTGACAAGCACTGTATATAGTACATTGCTCATGACATGTTTGAACACAAACCAAGAAAATTCAAACTAAAATTCTCCTATGACATTTTAGAATCTTGCATTCTGATTTGAATAGCAGCAGTGAGTGAGTGAGTGAGTGAGTGAGTGAGTGAGTGAGTGAGTGAGTGAGTGAGTGAGTGAGTGAGTGAGTGAGTGGGTGGGTGGGTGGGTGGGTGGGGTTTAACGCCACTTTTAACAGTATTCCAGTTACATCACTGCGTGTCAGCTTAATGTGGGAGGAAAGCCCCAAGTGATGCAGGTCTCAGACGTTTACCACTTCAGTGAAACCCATGAGCACGGGTATGGTGCGGACAAACCTAGAAACATAATCGGGGCGAACCAGTTTGAACCCACAATCATAGGTTTCTGACATGCCTAAGGGACGCAACTCTACACAGTGAATCGTGGTGCCTTAGACAACTGGGCCATCCATGCCCCCCATTTAATTTAAGGACCACTAAGGCGACATGCAGACATGGACGTACCTTGGTGTGTCGAGTTCTTGGAACCACATTTCTGTGTGTGAAGTCACAAACTGAAAAAGAAATATCATTTATTAAACATTTTCAAAAGCATAAGCCCGCTTGAACCTCTACAAGAACAAAATGTTTTTGTTCATATATATTCATACACGAACTACGGTTATAACGAACTAAAATTAGTGGTCCCTTTGAGTTTGTTATAACCGTAGTCATTGCACTTAGCGTTATGACACAAAATAATGGTGCCAATGACTTGGCATTTAGATATTTTCAGCATAAAAACTAAAGCCTAAAATCTTACACTAAAATCCTAATGCTATAACGTCATCATAAGGAGGAACATGCATGCTACAGTTCAGCTCCTTGTCTACCAAACAGATTACAGACTATGTGACAAAGATGCTGATGACTTTGCACGAGTGTGTGTTAAATATGTCAAGCCAATGTTTAAAATGGTGTTCAACTAACTCTCAATACATCTGCATTACCATTCTGCATATTTAATGCAAAATAATATGTTGTTCTGATAAATGTTCATCTATTATTTTCTGCTTCTTTTGTACTCTTCTTTATGGAGGAATAAAAGGTTATATATATATAAAGGTTATATACCAATTTCAAAGATGATGACCACAGAGCCAAATATGCAACTTGAGAGAAATTATAAAAGGTAAAAAACAAGGCAAAAATACTGCAAATACTTTAACATTTGTTACAATCCAACTAAACATATACCAAGTGACATTAAAGTTTGAAAAATAATATCTGAGTAAATGCCATAAATATGGCAACATGGCTGCTGAGGTGATATACTGAAATCATTTTCAAATGTCATTAACAAATTGGGGTGATACATGTATCATTAATTGGAAAAAGCATGGGAAGTTTCAGCTTCATTATTCCAGTTGTTTCTGAGGGAATATTTATGACAAACAACACACAATGCAAACCACAAAATTAAACATTGATGAGCCTATTGTATCATACACAGTTGGACATTGGATAATAAATTTATTATTTATTAAATTTAATAATCAATGTGAAGCTGATGCTTTACATGAGACGTGTTTGTTTCAATGACAGTTACACACACAGTTACTTTATATAAAAGTTGCCACCATTTTGGAAACATCTGGGATTTAAAGTCAATATTTGATTGTTATGTTCTGGGTTACTTATATTCCGGTATTTCAATGAATTATGTTACCATGGTTATTGTGTTACATCCAGTCATTTCTAGGTAACAATGTCAGAAATGGCTGTATGACAGGATGAAAGGCAATACAACAAAATAAGATTAAACCTTTACCACCCAGTTGTCCATCACCATAGTAACACATTAACCATGTTAACAAATTAGTCTCCCTGTTGCCAGCATATGCGACATATGTAAAAAAATTGTTTTACCTCTCTCAATGTCAGTATTTGCTTCAGGAATGACCTTTCAACTGTCAATATTGCTGTAATTCTATTGTTTACTGACAAACCCTACTTCACCCACTCCTAAATACATGTGCTATATACTGATAATTGACCCAAAACAGACGAGGTTAGCCCACTTCAGTGTGTAACTAGCTTTGCTAAGACAAGTGAAGTTTCATTTAAAAAAAAAAAAACCCACTAGAAACGATAAACTGATATTAGTTTTTGCAATTCACCCTCAAGGGGAAGAATATTTTACAGTGTCACATAGACCACTGGCAAATGATTCATTTTTAGAGCCCATAAATGTCTCTACCTTAAATAAAGCAAATATTATCCCAAGGCACTGTTTGATTAGCTTTGTGCCTGTCTCAGGCAAGGTAAGTAATGTATCTGGTGGGAGAGTTTGACTGATTGCATCACAATTGTCAGTTGCATGATGGCAAGAAAAAACATCAATTCCCCGGTAGTTAACACTGATGCTGAGTAACACCATCGATGGGAGTCTTCATAGGCATTTAGAAGTTGAAATCAATCATGATTACAAAATAATGATCTGAATTGTCTTAAGAAAATGAAAAAACGCCGCTAATCATGAATTTTTTCCATTCCTTTTGAACCAAAACACACCGTGTATGAACAGAGATGTGAGTATCCATTAGCAAAACATTGATCTTACATCTGACATGCCTCCCATTCTGGGAAGAGAGAAATCGGGTGTGTGTGGGTGTACACATATTTTAAGATTTTTACGAGGGTCATGTAAAAATGGACATTTTATAATAAAATAAAGTTCTTTTGCATTTTGTCTTTTCAGGGAAGGGTCATGAAAACAAATCTTCAAGGACATGGGGAGGGTCATCCAAAAATATGGGTTATTATTTTCTGTACATTTGTCACTAATTATTGTCAAAAAAGATTTGGCTCGACATTTGATTTGAGTCTGTTCTCTACCACTTGATCTCTGACAAGGATATTTTGTATATCGTATTAATAAGGGCCTTCCTCTGTAAACTTTCCAGGGCTCTTATTACAGCGAATAGGTTATTCCAATAGTTGTTCCATCAATAGTTGGGAGTTAACTGACTATAAAAGTTCAGTTTCCACCCTTGCCGAAAAAGGCTGGAATTATGGAGTTATATTGTGGCTGGACTCATGAGTCTCTGCATAGTTCAATCAAAAACGTGTCACGAATTCGACATCCAGTTCATAAAATGCCGTAGAGATTTCGGTCGATGGCAGGATTTGCAAAGTAAACCCTTTTTATTACAATGTAGATCGTGATTATCGATCAGATCATTTTCACTGGGCAACGCAACCTTATTTGAAGCAAATGCAAGTGATACGAAGAGGCTTCGTGCTTTCCTCCTACATTTGACTGGAGTGAGTGAGTTGGGTTTAACGCCGCTTTTAACATTATTCCAGTTATATCACGGCGTGCCAGCTTAATGTGGGAGGAAAGACCGAAGTGATGCATTTACGACTTCGAACCCACAATCATAGGTTTCTGGCGTGCCCAAGGGACACAACTCTGCACAACGAATCATGGCACCTTAGACTGGGACAATAGTGCCCCAACATTTGACTGGAATACTGTTGAAAGCGTTGTTAACCGAACTCACTCACACATCCATCCATTGGTACCAAGGGGCCATAAACTTTGAAAAACACGATGATAAATGTGTATTTATGTAAGCCAGTGGATGATAGCAGGAGCATGACATCAGAGTACAATGACACAATCAGTCAGCACCCATCAAAACATATGACAACTTTGTGGTGTAGTCGCTATTATTTTAAGCAACAAACCAGCGAGTGCTCAGACAAATGAGTAATCAGATCACATCAGCAATATTTCTTGTCCAACATACGTTCATGGAGAAGGACTCACTTGATTTTTGCAAGTCTTAATCAAAAATACAATTTTGGTGTTTTTCTCTTCTCCAAGTTACAACCTGTGAATGAAGTTAACCGAGGGTCGATTAAGTTTGATCACTTGCACCTGATGTACCAAAAATAGTTGATGATCTTTACGAGAGCAATAACAGCTGTTTACCATTTGTAAAAACAATACAAATATATGTACACTGTCCTGAATATTGAAGTACAATATGAATATTCATGAGCATTTATATGAGAGAGCAAGTCCAAAGGTGACACATGTCACACAATTAGGTAAAGTATTGTGTGCAATTAACATTATCAGGAACACAATTAACATTATTAGGAACACAGTTAACAGAATGGGAGTCATGTTTGACCCAGGTCCCCGTATCGCAATGATGTCCCTTGCTGATCTAAACGGCTGTAAAGTATTACATCGGGGAGGGAGGAAAAAAGACATTTTACACAATGTGCATCAAGCCCATTTTATCTTGCAGTTTCACAAATTTAATGCTTAGTTTTATTTGGAAAGAAAGAATTAGACATCACGAAAACAGTACTTTCAGATTATGCTTTTTTCAACTTTACATTCTTGGGGTCAGCTAATCTGTAAATACAAAACGTCAATGCCAGAAAATAAGAAGTATCGATAATCTGCCGAAACAGATTCCATTTAGCTGATTGATATATAGGCTGAAAATGATATCAGTGGATCAAAGAAAATCAGTGATGACACTAGGTGTTCGCGAAAAGGGTAACAATGTCCTGCCCTACCAGTGGCAGCAATTTTTCAAAAGAGTATCACCCCACAACCTAAGAGACTGTGAAAAGCACTACACAACACACATACATGGGAACACTCATAATATATCCAACATGAGTGAGTGAGTATTGTTTTATATCGCTTTTACCAAAATTCCAGCAATATCAAGGCGGGGGACACCAGAAATGGGCTTCACACATTGTACCCTTGTGGGGAATCGAACCCGGGTCTTCGGCATGACGAGTGAACACTTTAACCATTAGGCTACCCCACCACCCTCCAACATGAAAGAGTATTGAACACTACATTATGTTCAGAACTACTGATATAGTACCCACACTAAAAGTAAGATCTGAATCCCTAAGCACTCATTACTTATGCCACCGCAGGGAGAACCGATGCAAAGCTTCAAAAACAACGATCCTGCAGCCATACAGATGGAAAAGATTGGGTATTGATAGATTTAGGGCAAACAAAAAGCATCCTAAACAACAAAAAGCATTTTCTACATATACCATATATTTACTGTGCATAAAATAACACATGGACCATGCACGGTTAAAAATAATTATCATTTTCACTAGTCCAAAAAATGATCTGGTACAATGTCGACATTTACATAATAGTCCAGAGAGTTTTGGGTTGTGTTTTTTTCATGTTACACACAGAAATATTCTAGCTGTATGAAAGTGGCCTGTAACTAATCAAGACTGAACCAGACAATCCAGTTATTGACATTATGTGCAACGATCCCTGCCATCGCGGTATGATGACAAAAAATCAACCAAGTCGCCAGGCCTGAAAATCTGATTCAAGTTACCGCTCACAACCAGAAAAGACTTCTGTGGACCATGAGGCTAATTCACAAGGAAATGTCACAAGTCCTTCCTGAATTTTACTAGTCAGGGGATTGAAGGGGGTTTTATGTTAATTTTCGACTCTGTTATGGGAGTCTGTTTTAGAGTTTGGGATGACATACAGAGT